TTTTCGTTTCATAAATTATTTTTCCGTAGTCACTACAAGCGAAACTTCAAAGTGTAATATGCGCTGATAGCTAACTTATATATGACAACGCGTTGCGCACGAAATGCAGCGATTGTCTATAAGGGTGTAGTGTGGAAGGGATGCTTTAGCAACAATTTTAGTTAACTTTTCTTCTTCAAATATGTGATAACATGTCATTTTTATATTTATTTAACGACTATTGCGCAACACAAGTGCGGTATAAACAATGCGTCATGCATTTTTGAAAGATGCGATTTCGGAACATAATAAAATCATATATGATTGAATTCAGCGTAAAAAATGCTACAACTTTTGTCATTACAAAAATTTTGAAATTTAAAATAACAAGGGGTGGGAGTAAATTTAAAAAAATTACATTTTTTGAAAATCCAGCTACACAGTTATAAAGCCCATTACAAGCCATACAACTTCTATTTGAAACATTTTTTTATATCTTCTACGGTTTTGGCGATATTTGTACACAAAGAAAAAACCCGTTTTTTTTAAGGGGTGTTTCACCCCTTAAATTTGGGTTAGGGCCGCTAAAAAAAATACGTGTATCCTCAAATTATATGTTTTACAACATATTTCAAGAAGAATCAAATCGGGGGGGGGGGGGGGCACTTGCGAACGTTCCCTTGTAAGTATTGAATCGCACTGAGCCGTTGAGCCACAATTTTCTTCTGGCAAACGCTGCGTTATATCAAGATAATGTTCGTCGACCTTTCAGGATGGTCCTGGACGAAGCAGCCAATAAGTTACAATTCGAAGAGCTAGACGAGTTTGGCAACGTGTACCGGGAAGTCCCGACGTTGCAGCTGCTTGATCCTGAAATGGGCTTCCCACCTAGTCTGGATGCGGGATTTCAAATGCTCTACAGTTTGGAACAAGATGAGTAGGTCATTTTTTTTGCACATTAAGCATTATTTATCATGCAACAAAGTGATAACTTTAATACTTTTAGATTGAACAGTATGGAAGTAGAAGAGGAGGTGAACGTAAGCGATTCACCGAATGCAGGACGATCAGATGCATCTGTAGATAAAAGGAGATGTTAAAGAATTATAAGTTGTATAAATAAAGTTACAATGTAACTTTGCTCTTATGACATACGTGTTTATTATTGTAAATAAAAAAATGTAATTTAACCTAAACTTTCAGACAGAATAAATCTTCTGTAATGATTAAGTATCAAATATACTAAAATCAATAACCTGTTAATAAAGTAGAAAATTACAGATGAGCTTAATGAAGTAAAACATCTGTAAGTTTACTGATTATAAGAGTATTTGTTGATAAATGTAAAATATGAAGTGAGACATCTTTAATCTAATTAGAATAAAAAATCCGTGTTTTTGCAACAAAGTAGCTATTTATTTCCGGTATAATTTCCGGTATTCATATATAATTGCATTGTTCTCGAATGCATCCTGTGTGTTTTTACAGCATTCATTACTGTTCAAAGAAACGTCATTGAGTGACTTCAGCGCCAAGCAACCAACTTTCGCCACGCGTCCCAGAATTCCATCGTGACGCACGTTGATACGTTAAAAATGGCAGATTCTTCGCCTAGCAAAGCTGAGATCGAAGAAATTTTCAAGCGATTACGGGCCATTCCGACGAATAAGGTTTGTTCTGAGCATAATATTTCAATTTATGTCGACAACAAACGCATGAGAAATGATAAAACGATTTATTTGTCGATTGACGTGTCTGAAATGTCATACTGTCAGCTCAGTCTGCAGTTTCACCTTTGATGTTTTCTTTTAATCGTGTTACACATACGAAAGTGAAGATCCCGAAAATGTCAAATCTAAACGTCACATTTTGTAGAGCATTTTGTTTATAGCAAATATGCGGAATATTTTCAGTGACCAACGTGACGCTTTCACTTACGGTATATTTTTTTTTTGTTAATTACTACTCTGGAATTTGGCATGAAAAACTGGTTTCTTTTTCAGACATGTTTTGATTGCAACGCGAAGAATCCAGCATGGGCCAGTGTAACATATGGAGTTTTTCTGTGCATCGATTGCTCGGCAGTGCACCGCAGTCTGGGAGTGCATCTGACTTTCGTCAGATCCACCCAACTTGACACAAACTGGACATGGTTACAGCTCAGGAACATGCAGCTGGGTGGTAACGCCAATGCAGTTAGTATCCATATGATTTCTTCAATAAACTTATTTCTGTTGGAAATAGTATCAATAATGAAATTAATTTGTATTTTGTCACTTGATTTTTAGAGAAAATTTTTTTCACAACACAACTGCACCACGACCGATGCTCAGCAAAAGTATAATTCACGTGCAGCTAGATTATATAAGGAAAAATTGGGCCAAGCATCTGCACAAGCAATGCGTCGTTATGGCACAAAGGTATGATTATTAAATAGAGATAAAATTTATGATATTCAATGGACATTATTAGATCCACACTGTAACTATAAACATGGTAATTATAGGTTTCCCTTTCTACAACAAAAAATAAGACAATGGTGAGCTGAGTAAATGTGTTAAATCAATTTTTTTAATTGAAATTTTCACTAACATCTGCTTACATACAATACTTTTAAAATATTGCTTCTCATTTATTTTACACATGTATGTATGTTTATTTGCTTCATAGATATATGTATATACATACATGCATACAAATTATTTCTCATACATTTAACATCAAATCACAATTCTCCATATAAAAATAATAATCCACACGTGTCGAAATATATGTGTGGCTTGAGTGTTTATAAAAGTGTTGTTCATTTTCAAGATTATACGACAGACTCATTGTGAAAACCATATCTGATGTGTATATACATTTTTAAAACATTTCAACAATATTCAACAGTATATTTGTTCTCTCCTTTTGGTTGTTGCTTTTGATTTAACAATCCATAGGGTTTCTTGATCAAGCTTCATTAGTATTTTACTAATCATCCTAAATAAAAAATATGAAAAAATAAATATAGATTCACAATTGCATCTTTTTCGAATTACAGACACTGAAAATTATAAATTGGCAAAGAAATTTTATTATTCGAATAAATTGTCAAATATTCAACATTGAACAGCATAGCAGATAATGTTAGTACTATTATGCAATGCTCTTAATGCTAAACGTGCACTAATGGTACAGTTTGGTCAGATGTGTTAGAAACACTTTGCCTATCTAATTTTTAATCTTTTTTTTTTTTATAGCTTCATTTAGAGGAAGGCACAGAAACAATGCTGGAAGAAGCGAATGAGCCAGATTTCTTCAAGCAACATGAAAATTTAGATTTGCAACAAAATGAAATAATTTCAACAGAAGAAAAGGCATTCTTCACACCTAATGTTGAGTCAAATGATGATAATACAGATAAAGCAGAAATCTATTCTGATTGCTTGGGGCCTTCCGTCAATCTTTTCGATCCTATCTCAAATGTGCAATCTGAAAGAAAACCAACCATAGGTGGCAGGACAGCGCAGTCCCGACGTCCTGGTGGTGTAAGTTTATACATTTGTGAAACTAAGCAATTACGAGATTGCACTGCCATTGTCACTTTTTTTTTATTTATTGCAGTTGGGGAAGAAAACCGGAAGCTTAGGCGTGAGAGTTAAGACGGTTGACTTTGATGAATTGGAGAGGGCTTGCAAGCAAGCGCAAGAGGAGGATAAGGAACTCACGAAGGAGGAACAAGAGGCGATCGACCAGCGTCTGGCCCAGCGTTATGAGGAAAACTTGAGTCAGCAGGCTAAGAAGATAGAGGAAAGAGCGAAGCAGCTGGACCCGTCCAAGGCCACACAGGCGGAACGGCTTGGAATGGGATTTATGGCGCGAAGGTAATAAATTTGCACAATATCTCTCTCTCTCTCTTTCACTCATTTGAGTAAAATTATTTTCATCTATACGAGTTTCTTTTTTTCTATTTTGATTTCTTTCTCTTTTTTCTCTACCAGCGGTGCAACTCATTCTGCACTCGGTGACATGAAGACAATAACACAAGAGTCGAAGGCGAGCGTGATGTCAGCGGAAAAAGAAAAGGGAAAATCGCTTCTATGGGGAGAGAAAGAAAGCTTCTTCACCCTGGACGAGGTTTATTCGGTTTATGCTAACAACAAAACGAACAAGTCTACGCGTCATGAGGAAGTCATAGTTGTCGCGGAGCCGGAACCACCTAGGCGATCAACTCCCATGACTCGAAATTCCAAGACCGATGCGAAACCCACGTCTACCCTTGCCGAAGGAGAAGCTCAGAAGAAGTTTGGTAGCGCCAAGGCCATCAGCTCAGAGCAATATTTTCAAGACAGCACTTCCGACAATGCGGTGAGCGTGAGTTGCGAATATTCAATTTTCCTAAACAGTATTTTAAAAGTCGTATTTCATCGACACATTGAACAATGATTTTTTTTTTAATTATAATTATACTTGTAAATTTTCAGTGGGAACGCAAGAACAATTTGCGTCGCTTCGAAGGTTCATCGAGCATATCGTCGGCCGATTATTTCGGCACCGAAGGCTCGACCCCGACCTCGCCGACGTCCTCGTTATCCATGCGTTTGACCGCGGGACGAGCCGGTGTTGTAGATCTCGACGACGTTCGAGAAAGCGTACGTCAAGGAGTGAACAAGGTGGCCGGAAGACTGAGCTCGCTCGCGAACGCGGCGGTCTCCTCTATACAGGATCGTTATGGACTCTAATTAAAATCTATTGCATTTTATGAAAAAAATTGTTACAATACTTATTATCTGGACACAATCTTGTCCATTGTTCAGGACTGTAAATAAAAGCTTATAATTGAATTTTCGAACAACTTCTATAATATATATATATATATATTCATAATGAATGATGAGTCGGCAACGCGCGAACAAGAGCGCAATATGGAAGTTTACGCAGTAACTAGAGTGAAAATATAAATACGATGTATTTTATAAATATATCTCTGGTCATCTTTGTAACAGAGCCGATGTATTGTGCAATACATTACGTAACAAATATCTATATAAAAAGTCGAAAGGTACACCGAGACGAAAGTAAAATACTTGCAGTAATTTACATAATAAACGATTAAAATATCTTTAAAATCTAAAGCAGTTATGAATCTATACTCGGTGGTGGTTTTTGGCAACGCAAGATCAACTGCGAACACGGCTTGCCATGGAGAAAGCACACGAGTATCACTGTCATGTTGTCGCAGCCGGTGCCCATGAGAGCGTCGGGCGCCAGGCAACAGTTCAGCAACTCCTCGCAGATCTCCTCGGGATGTATCGTGACGTTCTGATGTGACTCTCCATCGCCGAGTTTCGTCTGAGCTAGACGCGTCCTCACGAACTCCACGACCTCTCCGCTGGTCATTACATCCCAGATGCCGTCGCATGCCAGTATAACGAACTCCCAGTCCTCGTTGACGGGAAACTGTTGCACTTCGGGAAAGGCTGTGCACACAATATTTTTTAACGTTAAACGTTTGAGTTGAATGATTTTAGCCGTTGCGCAATATCTCATTACCGGTCACAATTTGTTCTTGCGGTGGCTTGCGGTCGTTTCGCTTAAATATGAAATCGCCGAGCGCACGGGACAGCGCCAGATTGCCGTTCACCCTTTTATACTCGACGAAACCACCCGCTGCCTCGATTCGCTTACGCTCGTCCTTCAACGTGGGCTTGTGATCGCGACTGAGCGGCACTGTCTCGCCGTTGACGCACGCTACTGCTCTGCTGTCGCCTGCATTAGCCTGCAAAGCTTTTCCACTGATCAGGCAATTCAAGAGTCAGCGCGCATGGCCGCCGACAGGATAAATGAAGGACTTACGCTATACAAAATGTTGTCTTTGATCAGAAGCGCTATGACGGTGGTCCCCGCGTGTTCGTCCCTGAGCGCGGCATTATTCTGCATCGCCTTGTCCAGCTCCAGAAAGCCCTGCTGTATGCCTTCGACGATGTCACCCGCTTGATACTCACTCCTTTTGGTTATATATTCATGGAGATGTTTTCCAGCATGCTGCGCCATGGCTGCACCTAAATATTTGCATTGACATACAAATATTTACAAATACCAATTGTACTTCACAGCTATTTTGACTTTTCCTGTTACATAATAAATTTATTTTGCATTTATTTATCTTGATTAAGCTAAAAATCTCCGTACAGTTAGAAAATTATTGCTTATCCCAATTAAATGGACCTTTTAGTTACGATTTATTGATTATCTTGTGATCAATTATGATTCACTGATTGTCTCAGCAAAGGGGATTCGAAAAGGAATCGAAACATTTTGGAAATAAAGTATGTAAACTGCTGTTTACTTGAGATAGGAGGTACATAACACATTCTTATCTACACATGGGTTCTCATTTGCTATTTAATTTTTGCTCCTTTGATAGCAAATTAAAGAGCTTGAACTGTCATTTGTGTATCTTCAGCACCTTACCTCCATGTCCATCATAAACAGCGAAGAAAGCAGTGTCTGGATCACTGGGTAAGGAGAGTATGTGCACGTGAGAATCTTCCATTTTAATACGCCATCCCTGCATGCAGGAGCTACCCACTCGATAGTTGTTGTCCCGACAGCAGGTCGATTTTTTCTTCGTTACCGGCTCGCTAAGAGTCTGTCCCATTTTCCTCTCTTAATATGAAGCCTATTTGCGAGATTTAATACAATATTATTGACATTATACTGTGACGTTTGGATCAAAATTAAACACGCGCGTGATATTTGTAGATAATTCACGGAATTTTGCTTCGAAGCGCTCCCTTCACCTTCGCGATAACGTCGTCGTCCTCGTCGTCGTTGCCCTAAGACTCCAAATTTGAGCACCTTTCACTTCATTTTGGTTTCATAACAACTTTCCAGACAGAGACGTACAAAGCTGCGCACTGAATCGGCCGGCCGATTTGTCGTCAATTCCGCCCTACGTTCTGCTTTTCAGTATTTTCTGTCCGATCTTGAGAAATAATACGCACAACGTCAAGGCGGCCCTTCGTGAGCTGACATCGACCGAGATCAACAGCTGATTTGGATTGATGACGTCACGTTGTTAGTCGTTTTTTTGTGACACGACGTCACATTAGTGATGACAAAATGGAGACGCGGCCCCGCGTAAACTGTAATAAAGGAAATAAACGCACACAATCAAGAACAGCGTAATGTGCGCCAATATTTCGACTAGCTATAGAATAGTAGAAGCAGACACTTTCTACTGTTTTTTCTGTCTCGTTTTTATCGAACCGACAGCGAGGGCGACATTGCATATTTCTTTGATTTGTGCATATTAAAAGATGGAGATTCGAATCTTGATAAATATTTAATTACTACTTTACTTTTGATTAATTTTTAATTTTCAATTAATCGGCCAGAAACGCACAATTTTAGCCGGAATTTTAATAAATTGTTAATAGAATAAGCTTACTTATTGTAATAAATCTGTAAAGAATTTGTTGTAAAACTGAAATCTTATAATCATTTGTACGTTTTTAAGATGCTTGCAGAATATAGTAATAGGATTCAGTCATCATTAGAAAAGAATGAAATTAATGTAAAATGGCTGGGGTAAAATGAATAAAAAATTCAAGTCAATGAACGCAATTAGTAGTTTATTCGTGGTAAAAAATAGCACTGAATAACCTTTTATGTACAACACCTTTTTAACACGTTTGAAATTTAAATATTCCTGTAATTATTTTTTCTAAAAATGACTTAGAAACTAAATATTTCATTATCAAATATAGTGTGAAATGTTAGACAACCATGTTATGCATATTGCAATAAAATGTGCTAAAAGACGCGATCTTGATAACCGCTTTCAGCCATGCTGGTACTAGGCTTTGCTGGTCCACCAGGTACTTGATGATGAGGATGACGCATATGACCAGGTCGTCGCGGTGGTGCCAAGTATTCGAACATGCTTTGAGTATGTTGCGCTAGCATCTTGCTCAGATCACACGGCATTGGATCAGTCCAGAAGAAATCATGATTTAACGCCGAGTCGGAGTCACATCTCTTGCTGGGATCGAGAATCAGAAGTTTGTCTAGCAAATCGCAAGCATAAGGATCCTTCAAGTACGGCTTCAATCTATCTTTGACCTATAAAAGATAATATTGAAGTCGCATAATCTGTACTATATAACAAATTATTTTTAGTTAGACATTTTTATGTGTTAGGATAAATTAAGTTAGATTAAGAAATTAAATTTGAAGAGAGAAAACTTTTTCAACCCCTGCTGTATTAAATCTAACATCAAATTTGAAAATTTTTGACGATTTTCGAAATCAACGATCTTAAAAATCTATGAATATATTTTGCCAACGTGGAAAATATATTCTTGCAAATAACATATGCATCATTAAATATTTGAAGGGTTAATACATACTTTGTTACAAATTCTTAAATTTTGAAAAATGTATTAAAGGTTATTGTACATATAACCTCATGTATTTCTGCAAAAAACAAAAATTATGCAACATTGAATTTTAGTATGACCTTTCTTTTCTGTCCTTTAGGAAGATCCATCTTAGTAAATAAATCTAAATTTTCAACCCCAGGCCATACTTCAGTTGTGATTGAGCCGCATAGTTGTGAAATTAATATAAGTTGTTGCTGCTCAGTGTTTCCTTGCATTATAGGAGACCTGTAGATTAAAATAAAAAATTATTTAACTATGTATTACAACTTTGCAAGAATGTAATTGTCAAAAACACGATACCTTGTCCACATTTCCGCCATTATACAGCCGGCACCCCATAAATCCACAGGAGGTCCATAATTCCTATCACCGAGTAGAAGTTCTGGAGGTCGATACCAAAGAGTAACAACTCTGTTTGTGTAACGATTAGAATGGCCATTCTTTGCGCTAAATGCTCGCGCCAAGCCAAAGTCAGCTAATTTTAATACACCATTTTTTGTTATTAAAACATTGGCAGCTTTCATATCTCTGTGTAAAATCTGTAAGAAATAAAATAATGTATTAATATTATTATTGTTATTATTATGTTAATTTGTTAATAACAATAGCAATAATGTGTTATTACAATTATTATCATAATAATAATCGTTATTGTAATAAATAAATCCAAGAAAAAGATTTAATTATTAACACTTTGACTGCCGAGCTAATTTTGAGCGGGTTTTTAATTCTTATAAATATTTAATATAAAATTATTCCTACTTGTAGTTTTATCAAAACTGTCATTTGTCTATGGTCTAATAAGGCTCTTGTGGGAAACGCGTACATCAAGTATATGTAACGTAACAGTCCAAGTGTTAATGACATAAAATGTTTATACATTAAACATATATACTATTATAAATTGCTAAATCTATAACATTTATTTTGTCATGAAATAATTAAACTTTAAATCAATTTTATTCAAAAATAAGTCTTACATTTCATCCTAATTAAAGATAAAATTTTTAGAACATCTTCAAAAATATAAAATTTTAAACATCTTACCTTATTACTATGTATATAATAAAGACCATTCAATAACTGCTGCATAACCTTTTTTATCTCTCCTAAACTAAATTTCACATTTACATTTGATAATAAACCGGCTAAGTCGTGTTCACAGAAATCAAATACCAGATAAAAAGTGGAACGATATCGATTATATTGTGTAGCTGAAAGCAAAATTATAAAATTAACTTTTATATTATATAAATATTATGTATTTTAATTAGTATACAGGGTGATTCAAAATAACCTGATGTCCTTGCAATGCCATATTCTTGAGCGAATTCTGAGACGATTTTTCCTTTTACAAAATTTTGTCCGAAGCTTAGTTTTCGAGTTATAATTGAAAATAGGTAGCAACTTACGAGTTCGATACAACGGGCAGGCAGGGATGCGCAATGTATAATGAGACTGTCAAGTGTTTACTGTCGTCTCATGACGCATTGCACCGTCCCTGCCTGTCCGTTGTATCGGACTCGTAAGTAGCAAATTATTTTCAATTATAACTCGAAAACTAAGCTTCGGACAAAATTTTGTAAAAGGAAAAATCGTCTCAGAATTCGCTCAAGAATATGGCATTGCAAGGACATCAGGTTATTTTGAATCACCCTGTATATGTACTTGATCTCTTAATTGTTAAGAAATAACTTTCAATCTCTATTTGTCTTATTTCATTTATGATTGAAAATATCACATATAATATTAATTATAATATATTACCTTTTGTCCTGCAGATCTCTATAAGGTTGACTACATTTTCATGTTTTAGCAATTGTAATATTTTTATCTCTCGTAATGCCGTGATAGGGAACTATAATAAAATTTTACAATATTTAAAATAAATTACACATTGCATTAGAGATATTAAGTGAACTAAAAACTGGCTACAAATTAGTAAAGATGACATAAAATAGATATATATTTTGATTGTCCCACTTAAAATTTATAACAATATTGTATTCTTTAATTTTCTTTAATTATTGAGTTGGGATAAACGTCCAAAAAGCTATCACCTCCGCTGATTTTCAGTCTAAATACTTATATTATCTAGTAAATAATATTTCCAAATGAATTTTTGGCGCAAATGCCCCCTCCACCCCCAACTCCCTTCAAAGGTAAAACTTTTTGTTAATTATTTCAGAAAGTATTCATTGTACAGAGACGATAGCCTTTTGGAACACCCTTCAGTTGTTTTCATTATTGTTTATTTCTTACATTTTTTTACTTTGTGTTTATATTTTTCAAAATAGTAAATAATTTATTTTGAAAACAATTCTAAATGCTTTTTTTATATAACTTTTAATTGGAATGCAGTGTAATTGAAGCAGATAAAAATATTAATTTGTTTTCTAAAAAAGGATCTATTAGCAAAAATATACTGTTTTTATTTCGACCTATACAAACCACATTTTTATATAACATAACCTAATATTTTACATTAAATTAACACAAGCAAATGCAGAATTGAATTTTTTAACAGAATATATTAAAACAATTTTAAAATTGATAATTATATAAAACAAACTTACTCCCTCTTTCTCATTGTCCATTAATACCTTCTTCATTGCAACAAATTTCTTATTTGTTTTCTTGTCTTTTGCTTTGAACACCTCTCTGCAAAAGAATCAAATATCATTATAAATTATAAGATTAGATGCTAGCATATAAGTAATATAGTTAAGCATAAATCTTTACAATCTTAATTCAAATAATATCTAAACCTTTTAAAATGATATCTAAATATCCGTGCACTTATAAATTAATCATTTTAAAGCTGCAATATTATTTGTAATTGTGAACAGTACTGTAAAAATGTAACATCTATATCAAACTAATACTAATACTGTTTTTCGATTTAATACACGTTTACTACGCGTCTAGTTTATTACACGTCAACAAATTTGCAAGAATCTCAAATCTTTTGTGTAACCTAACCTTAAACTTTATTTCAAATTGTACCTACCCGAAAGTTCCCTGGCCAATTTTTGCAACTTTTTCATACTTCACAGATTCATCACAATGAGGAAAATCGAATTCCTCGATGTACTTCTCCTTTTCCTTCGTATTCATTATTTTTGCGTTAATTATATTTATCAAATATATCACAATATAATCACCTAGCTTGAACTACACCAAACTGTGTATGTACATACACTAAACTCTACATTAGAACCAAAACACATTTTCGGATCGCGAAATAAGTCATCTATTTTCCTATCTATTTCACACAGAATTAATTACAACTTCTTGCTATATTTGATAATTAATTTCAATGGTACACAATGGTACACGTTGTCGACTGGATCACTGAACTACATATGAGCTGTGTTCCGAAATTCACTGCCAGTACTGAAAATCTATAGTTTACGTAACGTATATTGCAGATTTTAGGTCTGTTCTTTATAGCTAAACTGGCTGCACTAGTTCAGAGTTTATCTTTTTCCCTTCACACTGAAAGGAGAAAGATAAAATCTGAACTAGTGCAGCCAGTTCAGCTATAAAGAACAAACCTTTTCAGTACTGGCAGTGAATTTCTAAACACAGCCAGGCATTGTTTTAGTTTCAGCAGATTCCGCTATGAACCGCTACTGCTGTCGCGCCAAAATTAAAAGTGTAACACATATTATAGAAAATAGTCGTAAATGATGATATGTTCTGTCTTTTAATAATACAATACACTTAAATTAAATCATTTTTCATCTATATATGTATATTATTATCATTTATTATTTATTATTGATAATCTATCTTTTTCATGAATTAATTATTCTTTTTATATTTCAATATCTTGAAATATGTATACAAAATTTGTAACTTTTTAGATGTTATTTTATTGAATTATAGAATATTTTATATTGTGCTTGGAAATTTTTCTGAATCTAATTCTTGCTAAATATGCCGAAGTTTAAACATCAATCAACCATGCAAAAGGGCCATAAATATTGTTTAAATATCTGTTCTATAAACTGCAAATAAATCTTGTTTTATCAAAACCAGTCTCTATAGATATGTATATATAAATGCCTGTACACTAATATTTTTGCAAGATTTATAAAATATTGTACCAAAATAAACATATACTCAAAGAGAAAAATATAATGTTACTTAAGATATTTGATTATATATATATTCCTATTCTACACATTAAAGCCACATAAATGAAAAAATTTTAACACATTTTCTGTATTCTTATATATCTTATTTTTTGCCATAAAAACATGTTATATTTATATATGGGCTGTTTGTGGAACTTATTTGACATTTCTAATTATCCTATATCTTAAATTTTAATCGATCGCTGATTTGGTTCAATTATGATAAAGATTTCGCTAAATCTTGATTCATAAAAACTAGTCTATACATATAATTCAAACTTTGAATAGCAATATGTTCGATATTTACAGAATATTGTAACAAAATAAACGTACAATCAACGAAAAAAATAGTTACTTAAGATATTCAGCTCTCGTGTACAGTATATATCTGTTTTATAACGTTAAAACCATAGTAAATGAAAATTTTAATTAATTTCCTGTATTCTTATATATCTTATCCTTTTTTTACCATAAAAACATATTATATTTATTTGTATGTGGGTTGTTTGTGGAACTTATTTTATCATTCTAATTATTCTATGTTTCTTAAATTTCAATCAATCGCTGGTTTGGTTCGTCTACGATGATGATTTCGCGCTAACGCGTGTATAATTGTTATTAAGAAGTAACCGATCATTAGTGTGACAAATTTGTCAAACAGCCATGATATTGTAGTAGTTCCGTCCTGCAAGAATAAATGTTTATTTTGAGATTGATTATCAGTGAATGTTGTGCATTATATTTTATAAAACTATAACTTACCATAGACGATTTATCATGCAGCTTATGTTTCTGTTCAACAAAATATCTTTTTAATGGCTCTTGGAATTTTGCACCGACAAATGGTACTATCGCTAACAAGCTGATAAATTTATCTAAAAGCTCTTCATTGAAAGCTATGATTACTGCTAATTGTTGTATGTGCATCTTAATAACAGCCTTTCCAATCAGCGTCGCGCCAAAAAATGTCCAGAAAGGAATGAGATAATGACCACATGTCAGACCAGCTAAGTCAAATAGTGGATTTGGGATCTGTAAAATTTTATTACATAAATAACAACACAGAAAACAAATTATATAAATTCTTTAATAGGTGAGAAATAACAAAAAAAACACTTTATTATCAAAAATAATTTCTATAAAAATAATTAAATTATGTAACAATAGTATATTCAAGGTTATTTAAAACTGAATTCAAATCTGTTGTCAAAATTAAAAAAATTCCAAATTATGAACCCAATATGGCAATAAAATTCGAACATAAAATTTTATTTTAAACTTTTGTGGGGAGTCTTCAATCTTTTTAAAAATTAAAATGTGTAAATTTAAAAAAAATAAAAAATCAAAGTAAAATATAATTAAATTAAAAAATATTGTTGTTGATACTCAACTCAATTTGATATGTAAATTAGGATTAAAACGTTAATCGCAAATTTGGCTTAAATAAATTTAACAAATTTAGTTCAAAGCGTAATGCAAGCAGAAAATTTTAGTTTTTTTACATAAATCAAGATCTATTATAGAATATTTTAAATCAAAAATTTTAAATTTTAAAACAAAAATTTTAAATCATTGCTCAAAAAATTTCTTGTAATATCTAGATGGCTAATACTACTTTATACTCTCAGTTTAGAATTTTTGCTTTAATTTTAGATTAAAATTCATTAATCAACTTTTTAAGCAACTAGCAAGCTATTTGAATACTTTTAGATTTTGTAATGAATAATCAAAGCATATTAAAAGAGGATATCTTCAAAAATGCTCGACTGAAAGTGTAAGGCATTAATGACACTATCTGTATGTTGAAAAAAATAAAATTTGCTGACACATACCGATGCACAAGCCAATATGCCCCAAAATCCAGCTTTCTCAACGAATCGCTTCATTGTTAGTTTTATACGCGTTACAAACGGTATACTCTCACCATTTTCTAACGCTTCCAGGGCTTCTAACTCTCTTAAATCTTCTTGGTCGAAATTGTCACTCTTACTATTTTGTCCGCTCATTCTTGCGGCTCTAGCCATGAAATATGGTGGTAATTCACCAAGTGCAGTGCCAGCCCCCCATAGCATGGCTTCTACGCGTACTTTTTTCATAATATTTAATATATCTACTACCCAAAGCGGGTCAATTTTCGTCGGGCATACTATCTGATCAGGATATGGCGGTTCGGGAAAGTTCAGAGCACCGCATTCGTATGCCGCCATAGTAACGGCCGCTATGTGCGGCCCCAAGTACAACACGAAAGTGTGCAAACCTGTTCCGAGACCTACACTTGATAATACACCTAATCCTACCCAATATAACCACCAGATTACTTTGGCCTCCCACAACTTAAAAATCTGAAACAAAGCAAATGAAACAGTTTATTTGTACACCATCTGTCCGATACATACATATTGCATAATTTTACATTATTGCAAATATGTTACCTCCTGTTGTGGGCCAGATATTCTGCCTGATAGGAGAAATAGTATTACAATTGAAATTACAGCGCACACTGTTCTTTTGTAAAGTAACGTTTTCTTCGCTAAACTAAGCACATTAATGGCCACTTCACTAAAGAAATAATATAACGTTATAATAGGATGTTTCCAGAGTGTCAAGTGTTCTGGATCCACATTCCAAACATCATGTGACTGGCTGTGTTCCATTGCTGGTGTCTTTCGTCTAACATTCCTTTCAGTTCCATTAACGGAACCTTTTGGACGTCGAATGGCAGTAGAATTATCCAACATGGTATTTTCTAAACAATTAATCTGTAAACAAATAGAATTTAAGTTAGCGACTTATTTGTGTATCTTTACAAGAATATTTAATAAGTTTTAATTGATAAAAATTAATATTTTGTGCATTTTTCATCTTTTTTGAGATACTTTTGCATAGCAAAGAAAATTTTTTATCTTAAAGTGCTTCATTATTATGTGAATGAAACACCTTGCAATAATATTTTCCTGGATTGTGTAAAATAATTTCACAAAAAAATTTCAAACATATCTAAGTACAATATTTTTCTTATTCACTATAGAATCTTAGAAATATGTATTGTAGTTGCCAAACTGTTACAAAAATCACATATATCTATAAAAAATAAAATATTTTATAATAAAAATAATAATAAAAAAATTTTCTCTGTTTTACACACACAACATTCCTACAAGAAAAAAATAATATTTTATAATAATTTACTTCAATCAGTGCAGCATCCACATCAATATCTATAATTGTAAGTTTATTATCATTGTATTGTTGAGATTCACGAATCTTTGGCACATATATATCACATATACAATCACACATAACGTCTGAGAAATAATGTGAGCTTGGTATTGTTACTAAAAAACATGTTTCATAATGAGTCAAGTCAAAGGTCAAATTGCAATAAGTCAAGTTACTGTTCAACGTAAGTATCTAAGTTGCTGATTATTTTTTACAACTTGCAAAGTATTATTCTCAAATAAAAGAAGTGCAATAACAGGTTCAATTCTAAATAATCTAAATAATATAGCTAAAAGAAATTACAGTTTTACTAATATTATTATTAAAATTAAAATTAAAAATTTAATCTATTAAATAACCAATAAAAAAAAATTCTTTCGTTGTTTTTCAGTGTTAATTTATTCGGTTTTCAATAATTTTAAATGTTTGTCTATATTGTAGTTATCGTGGCAACACAAAATGATACAAAACATCAAAACATATAGAAGTAACATATACAAATTATTATTTAACATTTTATCAAATAATTACAAATAAAATTGCCTTAGAAGTAAAAAAAAATCAGATGAAATAAATCTCGCACAACATCATGCTATAACTGTTTGATTAATCTAATATTCTATCTGATAATTAAGTGTAAACTTTAATTATAAATACTTACTACATGTTCCTTAGTTAATACTTACTCTGTAAAAATAAAAATTATAAATGTGAGCTTTTATTAGTGTTCACGCAAAGCAAAAGCTAGTCTAAACTAAAATTTAAATCTTTTTTTCAACATTACACATAAATACACATACAACTTATACAAGATATGCAGATACACTTTAAAATAAGTAAAAATATGCGTAATAAATAAATAAATGTTATTTTGAATTTTATTTAAAGGCTCAAGAGATTTTAATCTCTTCTATTAATATTTTTAAAGAGTTAAGTCACTGTTTTAATAGATTTTGACTCATTGACAAGATGCGTCTAAATTGTAAATCACTTTAGACTAATTTTTTTTTTCAATCTGTTTATATTATAAAGTATGAAGCAATCATAATATCACAGATGTTCTGAGAAATAAATATTGAAGAAAAGAATATATAGAAATGTTCATTTTAATTAGATTCTGTCGTTTTAATTTTAAAACCACAAAAAGAGGTTAGGTTAGATTTTATTTAAACAACAAGCTATTTAACACAACTACCTTCTCTATCTATGCAAAACTATTTGTTTTATATAAAAATATTAATATAATTAAGTGATCAAAACTCAAAATATGATTATAATTGACACTGATTCTTATGCGCAAGCATATATTATATAAAACACACAATATAAGTACAAATAACAATTCAGAAAATTTCATAAGCAATAATGCTATATTAACAAAATGTAAGTGTCAATTATTTATTGCTTCCTTCGTACATTAAACAATTAATGCCATATTATGCTCCCTGTTAGCAAATGGATACTTGAAAAAATATCAATCTTTCTTATTCTCTCTATATATATTACAAAATTTGAGCCTTTAATATATATTATCAGATAAATTGAAGATTCAAACTTATATTATTGTTTATATTAAACAAAAAAATAATTGTAGATGCATGCTAAAAGTTTACCAAACATAATGCCACAAGAAAGTCTCTTTCGCATGATGAATTGACAAATCATGATTGAAAAAGAGCACAAAACTTATTATTTGGAAAATCTCATGAAAAAGCATATTGTAAATTTATTGAATTTAATTAAAATTCTTAATATTTTTTCTAATATTTTAAATATTTTTTCTAATATTCTTAATATCTTTAACCTATTACGAATGGCTGAGTTATGAAGCATAACCAATATTAAGTAAAAAACAAGAGATTTTATACAAGTGAATTACCTTTTCAATATTATTATATAAATTTTGATATGTATCAAGGTGGAAATTACAATACAGTGCTTTTCTTATATCATCGTGGTAAGTGTGCCCCGATGAAAGTGATGAACAATATTGCAGTCTTGTAAGGTTAAGCAACCTGTACCAACCTGTGCGTTACCTTGTGTCGTGGCACTATTAATTGAACTGATTGAACTGTCAATTCACGCATGACGTGTCATTCACACATACGCACACATCTATATTTATCTGGATATATATATATTACTGTGTGTTTACATACACACATTTATAAGTATAATGTGTAATATAAAATGTAAATAAACTGATATATCCTGATACGCACAGATGTAAATAAGAATTTATTAAATATACAAGCATTAAAAAATGCCTAGTCACCGTTATTCTTGCTTTGTAATCATATTATTTACTTCTCGAAATCACAGTACTACTTTATTTTAGTTTTCTACTTCTTTCTTTTTCTCTTTCCTAAATGTGATAAATTGTTAAATTCCTCTAATTTGTGTTGTTTAAAAATTTAATTTATAATATTTATTACGTTGCCGTGCTTTTCTAATTTGTTAGAGAATTTTGTCTAGTCCTTTTTAGGTTGTCATCTTCTTTCTTAATTTGCTAGGAACTTTTGTTCTTTTTAGGTTGCCATCTTTTTCTTAGTTTACTAGTATTTTATGTTGTCACAATTTTCAAAATGCTAGCACACACGGCATAATATCGTGTAAAATTTTCATTTTTTATTAGTTTTCCACTTTGCAATTACACGACTATGAGATTATGAAATAATAAGGAAGGAGCATAAAAGATTTTGTAAAAAATATTAATGTGATGTGTGTAATAATATGGAGATGTTAAGAAAATCTTAATTGTATATAATAAAAAAAACTTGGTTTTATATATTAATAAAATAATTATTTGACAACAAATGGATTTTTTATGAAGACTTTAGCAGCGTTTAATGGGAGGAAAGAGAAAATAGTATGATTTCTAAAATAAAGCATTGCACATCACAATTACATATCTTTGGCGATTCTTTAAAATCTCAAGTACTTGTATACTTTTAGAATAATTATAGGGCATTCTATATATATTTTACATTATTTATTTACACTATTTTAATTTTATACATTGTACACCTAGCGGTATGATTAATATTTTTTATACATGCATGATGCAATTCATACCGACTTAATTGCAACTTTAAATATGACTACATTACAACAGTTCTTAACGATACAAATGATCAGCATGAATATTACTAGCAATTTCAGATTCCCATTTGTCACCATTATTTAAGAGCTTCTCTTTGTTATATAACATTTCTTCATGGGTTTCACTTGAGAATTCAAAGTTTGGACCCTACAATAGAGAAATTTCATGTATTAATCCTATAAATCCTTTCTTGCATTTTTATATTGTCTGTCTTAACCAATTCAGTATCATGAGAAATGCATGGAAAAAGTGCTAAGCAACACAAGATCGCTTTTTCTATTTTATATCGAAGAATGCCCATAAGCTCTATTGTGCTTTCTTTTTGTTTCCATTTATAATTGAAAGGCCGACTCGGCTTGAATCATTCATTATTGCCAAGGTATATATCTCACATTTAAACTATCTGTTTTAGTCTCATTAAAATGTATCATCAGTATACCTACTGTAAGATTTGCTGACATTTTTCGACATAAATTGGGAGACTTACAATTGCGCTGCTTGGCACTTAAATAGTTAATTAATAACATAATACCTCAACAATCGCATCTACTGGACAAGCTTCTTGGCAAAAGCCGCAGTAGATACATTTAGACATGTCAATATCATATCTTGTTGTACGTCGAGATCCATCTGCTCTTTCTTCTGCTTCAATTGTAATAGCTTGTGCAGGACATATTGCTTCACATAACTTGCAGGCGATACATCTTTCTTCTCCAGAGGGATATCTATGATAAATAAAAATAATATGTAAAAAGATAGTATCTAGTATGTAAAAAATTAAAATTTTTATTTTTTCCCTTTTTAATCACCATTTCAATGATTGTGCTAAAAACAAAATGTGTTTAGAAAATGAGTTGTAAAAATATAAGAATATAAGGCACAATAAAATATAGATATATAATGCCAAAAATATATAACAGAAATTTTAACATAAAGATATATAATACAAACTTAACATACTGAGAATATAATAAAAATACATCACAAAAAAATACCTTCTTAGTGCATGCTCTCCTCGAAATCTAGGACTCAAGGGTCCTTTTTCAAAAGGATAGTTTATTGTTGCTGGTTCTCTGAATAACTGAGACAAAATAAGTCCAAATCCTCGAAAAATTTCAAGAAAAAACATATGGGTAGTTGCAGCTTCCATGATGTCATTCCAATTTTTGTCCTTGTATTCATTTACATAGTAATATTTGTTTCGACTCAAATATGTATTTACCCCATTTGGAACAATCTTAATAAATCTTGGAGCTGAAATATTTATAATGTTTAAAATTATATTTGTTATATGAAATATAAATATAACTTAATAACAAGCTTGCACAAAATTCTATAATCTATGTAATTTAGAAATAAAATAACTCGTTTAAAATAATAACCAAGAAATATAATAATTTATACTAGTACATGGTATATATTTAAAAAAAAATAAATTTTCTAATATACAAATAAATTAAAACCTATTAAAAAATTATGCTCTACTTAAAATTTGAAACTCAATTAAACTGTAATTATAATTATAAATATGTATCATAAAATACATATTTATCAAAAGTAAGCCAAAACAGTAAGAGAATTTCTAACCTCAACATAACATATTTAAGATGCAATCAGCATTGGTTATATGTAACATAATTTTTAAAAAATTAATAAAAAAAGTATAGTAATAAGAATAGTAATAAAAATATATAATATTACACAATTTCTGTAAATTTAATAAATTAAAGAAAGTTATATCACGTTAAAAAATTATCTAACGTTATGCTCAAAATTAACCTCGTTTTAAAAATTCATAGATATCATACCAATTTTACTCGTTCGCGTTAATATCTGCAAGGAACTCATCATCGTGCCCTATTTCTTTTAAGATTTAACAATATTAATGAATTGATACATAGAATTTTCCTTTTTATGAAAATCTATGTATGAGGAAATACACGCACATACCACACACACTAAACTACTAAACTCAATGAAATTATCTATGCTATTCAGAAGTGCACTCTGACAAATCTAAAGACTCTAGATCATTTACCTAGTGACCCTAGACTTCTGTTTGAATTTTGCATCCAAATTCAGTGCGTCCACAATCCGAGTTTTAATAACTTTCTCTTGGTTCGAATTCTAGCATCGTGGAAACATTATACATGAGAAAAATAAAAAAAATTATTAATAATATAATATATGTACAAGGAACATAAAAAATATTAAAAAATTAAAAAAGAAAAAAAAATAATAAGACATAATTCAATCTCTGCAACTTTTAGTTTAATTTTATATTCAAGATTATTTTAAATACAATTTTAAACTCATAATCGGAAATTAAAAAACAAATTTAATTATTTAACAATTACAAATCTATATAACTGTCCTCTCTTTCTTTATGGAACATTTTAAAATTGTGCTAAAGATGATTTTAAATGTAATATTGAACTATGAAAACTGTCCTAGAAATCAGCTTATTTATATATTCCTGCTAGAAAGTATCTAGAGAGAAAATTTTTGTATTTTATTACCTTTTATAAAAATATTATACATTAAGGGGGGATTCTAGTCTAGAGATTTGGAAAAATCAAAAATAATTTTTTTTTTAATTTTTTACAAGTATTTGCCCTATAGAATAAATGACTAAAAGGATTTTTTCCGATTTGAAAAGCTAACATGAGTTTAAAGCCTAGAAAGGAGGGATTCCCCATTGCGCGCTCCGAGCGCGTTTCACTTTGGGATTTCGAAGCGCGCTAGAAATCTCGAGTAGGGATTATATTTCGGTTCTGGCTTAAATGATCATTACTTTTCGAAATTCATGAAGTACCTGAGCTGACCGTTCAAATGTTAAATAAAGGTTCGATCATGCTTTGTTTGTAAACAACCAGCTGCTCGAAAACCAGCATTGCTCTGAACGTTGAGGTGAGCAGACACGAGCAACTTGCAGGATTGTGTTTTCCGTTATTTTTTTATATTTAATTATATTTTGTTAAAAAATGGACAAAAAAGGCTCTAGAAAAAAAGGATTCATCCGGAACGCCAGAGGAAACGACGCTTTTGTGGAAATCGCTTTACACTTGAGAAGGATACTGAACTCACCAGTACTTCGGTAAAAAAAATTATCAACTTCCGAAGATATTGATTTCGTTATTTCAAGAGAATTCACGTATTGCATTTTATACAGTTTTTACAATATCGGCATCTCTTGTGATTTGTAAAGTGTGCAACAAAGATGTGCAAATTTCACAGACATCATTTCGAGGCTTGGGATTCAAGATTTGCATCAAATGCGTGTGGTGAAAAGTTCATCAATTCTTCGCCTTTTACTAACGAGGCTTATGAAATAAATCGACGAATGGTTTTCGTTTTTCGTCTTTTGGGTGTTGTGAAAGAAGGCATAAATTTATTTTGTAATTTAATGGACATGTCTAGTGGCCTCACTGTGAATACTTATTATGTCTGCCTTGACAATATTCACCTCGCAGTTTCTTCAGTGTACAATGTAATTTTAAAGAAAGCTATTGAAGAGAAAAACCCAAAAAATAAAGACGCTGGAAATATCGAAAATCATCTCACAGTTTCTGGTGACGGTACTTGGAAGCAAAGAGGGTACTCATCTCTCTTTGGCGTATCAACACTCATCGGTAAATATTCGAAAAAAGTGATTGATGCTACAGTAAAAAGTAGTTTTTGTCAAGCGTGTAACTTTTGGAGTATAAAAAAGAATGGAGATATTGATGAATATAACGAATGGTATAAGACACACGAAAAAAACTGCTCTATCAATCATAAAGGAAGTGCAGGAAAGATGGAAACCAATGAAATCACAGAAATGTTTTCAAGATCGAAAGAGAAGAACGATGTCCTTTATGTGAAATACATTGGAGATGGCAAAACTTGGAGATGGCAATACATTGGAGACAGTAAAACTTTCAAAAACATTTCGACTGTTAATCCATATGAAGAAGATAATATTACTGTGGTTAAAAAAGAATGCGTCGGACATGTCGAAAAAAGGATGGAAACGAGACTTCGAAACGCAAAAAAAGATAACAAAGGTATCGGTGGCAAAAGTGCTGGTAAGCTGACAGACAAAATGATCGGAGAACTTACGAAGTACTACGGCTTGGCTATTTGAAGACATCCAGATTCTGTTGCTGACATGCGGAAAGAAATATGGGCAGCGTATTATCATAAAAGTTCTGCCGACGAAAAACCGCAACACCAAAACTGTCCAGAGGGCGAGGAGAGCTGGTGTAAGTGGCGCAAAGCCAAAGCCGACGGCACACTTCCCAATTTCCAACATCAAAATCCGCCGCTCAGTGATAAGGTATTAGAAGTAATAAAACCTATTTACGAAGATTTGTCAAGTGATAAACTGTTGGACCGTTGTTTGGGCACGGAAACGCAGAACAACAACGAATCTTTGAATGCGATAATTTGAACCTTTGCTCCGAAACACTTTCACTGTGGCTTAAAAACGATTGAGATTACGACGGCTGTTATTATATTTAATGAAGGATTGTTACCTGTCCTGAAAGCCATGAATGTTATGGGAGTAACGATTGGTCGACAAGCGGAGATGTACGTTCATCTTCGCAACGACGCGCGCATTTTACGATCGGAGTGGTGATCATCTAATTTTGCAAAAGACCAAAGAGTGCTGCTTCAGGAGGAAAGATCGGTATTGCAGGAGATGTACGAGCAAGAGAAAGGTCTTTTCTGTGGCCTAGGAATCGCTGATTAAATGTAAGTTGCAAAATGTGCATGTTATCTTGATGTTAATTTTTTTTTTTAAAGTAAAGTGAAAAGAACTTTAAACGCGTTTTTCGCGAAACCACTTTTTTTCAACTGGTACTCACGATATCTCAAAATCCATTGTTCCGATCTTTCTCAAATTTTACACACATCTTCAGCACATGTGTGGCTATGACTGGAACTAGAATCTTTTTGAAATATGGTTTTTGCGAATTTTACAACACTAAAGTTGAAAAAAAGTTGCGAAATTCGATACCTTACTTTCAAAAACGCACAACTTTCGTAAATTTTAACATTTTATAAAAATTCTAGTTCAAGTAAGAGCCAAACTCTTATATTTTGAGAATCTCTTTGAATTTTTTGTTTCAGATCACTACAACGGCCGGAATAATGGACACCGTTTATCACCTTTTTTTTTAACGGGTTAGAAAAACCACATGTACCGCGCTTCTTAATTTATATTTTAAAATTAAAAAATTTTGAAAGATACTTGAAAGATACTTGAAAGGTGTACCAATATGTAGGAAAAATCCCCATCTCAAAAAATTCCGTAGCTTTCCCACAAAAAAATCGCAAAAATAACCTAAAAATCGGGTCTCTAGACTAGAATCCCCTCTTTACAAAAACGTAATTATCGTCAGATATATGTATATACATCATACATCAAATATTACATTCTTCTTTACAAAGGTGGCCATAAAAGTGCTACTTCCGTATGCGCAGATTCCGGCAGCCACTTCTGATAAGCTGATAGTAAAACTGAAATTAAAATATATTCCATATTTAAATCAAATTAATGATATAAATACATGATTGTACAAAGTACGTTTGCAAAAAAATAACAAAATTAATTTTTTTGTGTGTAAAAACCATAAAAAAAATAATTCCATTTATTCCAAAATTAATTCTATTATTTTTCATACAGACGAGAATATTATACTATACACAAATTAAAAAATAATCTTACATTTCTTGTCCAAACTCCAAGTATCCAGTAGTTTATCTTTGGACATAATTCCATGCGATAATAGCATTTGTGTCATCGCTTGTGTACGTGGTATTAATCTGAAAATAAAAAGATTAATTGAATTAACTGAAAGAAAAAGAATCTAATGAATAAAAAAAATAAAGAACAAATACTTGGCCCATGATTTAGTGATGCTGCCAGGTGTCGTCAGTAACGATGGCACGAATCGTTTCAACTTAGGACACACTTGACCCTCCAAGAAAAAATAGGCAAATAATCTAACACCATCCACCGTCAATGGATGTTCTATGTTTATTGGCGGTAGTTCCCATCCGGCTCTTCCAAATGTGCCAGACACGCGACAGATGATTTTTCCGGTTTCAGAATTATATCTATAAATGTATTGCAGTAAAAACTGATAAGAAATAAAAGTACTTATAAAAATTAGAATTTTTATCAAGAAAAATAAAAACTGGTGTTGGGAAAACATAAGATAATTGCCGTAAAAATACCTTGGTGGCGGATCAGCCAATGGTTCGCTAAGGTGACATAACGCAGGTGCAAATTTCGGCAACCATTCAGGTTCTATCGCTGTGATACCGCGCATGTACATCTTATTTGTTTCATACACCTCTTGATAAACCACCCATTCAGGACTAACTTTCCGTAGGGCACACGAAGAATGCATGAACACAGGTTCTTCCATTTCTGGCGTCCTAAAGTGACAATTAAAAATTCAAATAGATTTTATAAAATTTTTCAGAAAGCTTTTGGTATCTGTAATTTGAAAATTAAAATATAAACTCTAATTTACAAACAAAAAATAAAAATTTAAGGTAAACTGTGATTAAATAAAAATAGTTTTTAATTTAAATATGATATATAAATAAAAATTTCAGAATAGATTTGATTTTGTGTCTTATAAAAGTAATCATTTTTAATTTAAAAAAATTTTGACGTCAAATTTGAATTCAAAGATAAAAATTCTTAAAAATCAAGTTTCACGAAAAATAGAAAATAAAATTTTAATAAAAATATAATTTTTCAAATTTGTGTCTACTATATTAAGTCTGCCATAATAAAAATTAAGCTAGAGATTCAAATTTAATGACTCCAAAAACCTATGAATACCATGTGTGTTTTACGAAATTTCTATAGAAAACAAATATTCTCCTTTTTTTTAATGAAGCATATAAAAACTTAAACGGTTAATTAACTTAAAAGGTAATTGTAATAACGAATAGTGTGTACCTGTAAGCATACTTCCACTTTGCCTTGTCCTGATCCTCCTTCACCTCGTCAAGTGAAACTTTCTTTGCCACTTGATCTACCATACCCGCGAGAACTATTTGACGCAATAATTTCGCTTCTGTATTAGTTGGTAGCGTCATTCTGTAAAAATTTTTTGTTTATTACACAAACAAATCAATCTCAATATATAATCAATCAATATATGATACATACTTTGGGTCAATAGACAAATTTAGGTCCGGTATATTTAAATTAATTTCATTTGTTAGCTGTTGTCTAAGTTTCTTTATCTCGACTACAGCTTTATGTCTCAAGCCATTTTCTTCGCAGAAAGACAACAACTTTCCTTCAGATCCCGCATATTCAGCAGCTGCAATGGCTTTTATCAGAACCATCGGATCACCTGCATAGAAAGAATAGTATCATTTTCTTTTACGTATTTACATAATTACGTATCATAAAGATGATCGTATTTATCACAAAAAGATGATCGTATTTATCACAAAAAGATGATCAAGAAAATAATATCTCATACTAATATAATATAATAATGGATGATATATAATATAATAATAGTTTCATACGTACCAAGAAGCAAACTATTGCCAGTACCAGCCCAATGACGACGTATTTGCAGCCATTTGTTCTTAGCCGAACCCTCCATGCTAAGCGCTTCTATTAACACTTCTTGAACGCTGAGAGCCGCCACCATGCATATTGTGTATTTCAACAAGTTATGCTGATGCGACAATGCCAGCATTTTGCCGTAACGTGGAGCAACCGGAAACGCGGCGATACTATGCCCAAGAGGCGTTACTTTCGCGCAATACGTTTCTAAACAACAAACCATTAATTTTTGTAAATTATCTACAAATTTTACATAGAAAAAATACTATAAAGTAACAAAAGATCTGTCTACAAAAGTATATATATTAAGAAATCGGTTTTTTAAATCATAAATAAGTCAATTTATGATAAAAAATAAATCGAAAAATCGGAACAAAATAAAGTAAAATCCATTTTGAAAATTTGTTAATTAAAAAGTTGCGTAAACAAAACTTCAATACTTTTTTTTTAAATAATCTTGTAAATATGACAAAAATCGCTATATTTTTCTTTTCCCAAATTTTTAATACACCCTTTTTGAGACTAGATTTCTATTTAGCACATAGAAAATTACAGATAACTATTCCTCTTTCTCGAATAATACACCTGTAGATGTTGTCATAATTTTTAACATCTCAATTGTGCAAAGACTTTTTTTAAATAAATTTAAATAATTACCTTCCTGTTTCTTCGGTGGTTGCTGCAACGCTCCGAGTAACATAAGGCGTTTTTCCGCGGATTTCAGTTGCACAATGTCCGGCGGCGTAGGAAACGGGAAATTCACGACCTTGTCTATATGCATTGCCTTCATTTGCAGTAGTAAATCATCCACTGGTTTCCGTTGTATCTCTGATTGGCCGTATTCCTCGAACTGATTATTATACATAGCTGATGAGAATAATCTACAAAAAAATTATATATATATACAAATATACATTAAAAACAATTAAGGATTAACATAAGTATGTAATGCATATATAATATAATTATACATTAATGTATTATATTAATATATAATTAAAGATATAAAAACAACTAAGGATTTATATCTCGAGAGCTTGCGTGCCTTTTTTTCTATTTCGAAATAAATATGAAGCTAACGCCATGCAAAATATATTACAGTATGATTGTTAAATACACAAGTGCAAATTCTCACATTCGACAGAGTGTCGTGTGCATCAATGTAGCGCAATTTGACGTGTAATTGAACGCAATACGTCAGTTTTTATCATATTGTACCGTGTTCAATAAAATACTTGCTTAACAGTCACGAAATACCTGTAGCAATGACCAGGTTGTGTCCTGCCCGCTCTGCCGGCGCGTTGACTGGCCGCTGCTTTATTTGTGTAGCAAATATGATATGTGCTCACACCAGTTACTTTATCGTACATTCTAGTCTTACAACGACCACTATCTATCACGTATCTAACGTTGGGAATCGTTAGTGAAGTTTCCGCAACATTGGTAGACACCACACACAAGCGACATCCTTCCGGCGGCGCTTCAAATACCTAGAAAAAAATCATTCGTTACTTAATAACAAAATCAATTCGTCTTCTTATTTTTGTCAAGACTCATTAACTTGTAAATGAGTTGCTAATTCTTAGTTATATGCGTATAAACAGTATGTACTGTGTATTTACTCTGGCTTGTTTATGACTAGGCAAAAAAGAGTAGAGGGGCAGAACCCATAACGGCTGAGAGTTCGTCAATCCCTTGAAATCGATCATGTCTTCGTCCTCATCCTCGTCTTCGTCATCCTGTGCATCGATTAAATCTTCATGCGTATCGTCAGTGGGAATTACTGAATAACTAAACACAAATGTTTCCACGTACATTTTTCGGGACAAAGACCAAAATGACTGCATTATAAACGTACGTACTCGTCCAGATTGATATTCGGAAGTACAATCCGTTTCTTTTGCCTCTGCTTGTTGCGGCGTAACGCTTCCTCGGCATCGAAGTCATCATCGGTATCATCCTCTTCACTTTGCGTCTCGTTTGTTACTTCTTTCGAGGGTGACTTGCTTTTTTCCAAGTTGATGGACTTAACTTGTTGTCGAAAAAGTTTATTCTTTCTCAGTGGAAATGCTTTGCGCAATTTACGTACAATCGTGTGCACTTCCTGTTGACCTGTGACATATTCGAAAAATATTCTCTTCAGCAAAAATGACAAATATAAATTAAAGACTGTCAGACAGAATTTTAAAAATTTATGTTTACATGAACGAACTAGCGACTATGACGAAAATTAAAAAGCATCAAGCACTGTTCCATGCACTATGTTTAAATGTGTGATAATGTTTTTCTTTTGTTGAAAAACAGTATCTATTGAAAAAGATCAAAAATCGTGCGTCATACTAAATAAATTAATATTCTTCAAATATGCCGACAATATAAATGTAAAACTTTATAATACACAAAAAAACAATCAACATTGTTCTACCTGTTAAAAATATTAATATACCGCCTTCTGGTAGACGAGTATGTATCTTTATCGCTTTGCGCAATGCTTCATTGACATAATCCTCGCTTGTACGTCTATTGAAGTGTATCGTTACGGGAAATTGTCGTGTTTGAATCGTGATTACTGGCGGTTTCACCTTAAACAGCCTCACATTTTCTACGAATTCTTCCACACGCAATGTGGCCGACATAATTATTAGTTTTAAAGGATCATTGCGTTTATTACGAAGAGGAACAATTCTCGACAATAGACCTATCAGGATATCAGTGTACACGCTGCGTTCGTGTGCCTCATCCAGTATAATTACAGAATACTTTGTCAATAGAAAATCCTGTGAAACAAATAGAGAAATTATAAATCGCTTGTATCGTATCAAAATATTTAAAATGAGTTATTACCTACACTTTGAATTTCTTTCAACAAAACACCATCGGTCATGAATTTGATCTTTGTTTCCTCTGTGACATTTCCCTCAAAACGAATCAAATATGAAACCTGTTTTTGAGTAAGATTCATTTCTTCAGCCACGCGCTTACTCATTGACATTGCTGCCACTCGTCTTGGTTCGGTTATCCCAATTAACTTATTTTGAGCGTATCCAGCTTCGTATAAAAATTGAGGCACTTGTGTTGTCTTTCCTATGACAAATTTAAACAATAAAATTAAAAAATATATTAAAAGGTGTTTAAAAATAAAATTTAATTTAATTTTATTGATTATTATTCAGCCATTTAATTCCTAATGTATTAATGATGCATGTACAACTTTATTTCAAAAAACATTTCCCACTTATAAAATTTTTACAAAATAAGTTTAAATATTTGATCAAAATTTTCAAATTTAATATAAAAAAAATAACAAATAATATAAGTAACTTATAATATAACAGATGTAAATTTAAAAAATTGCTTTGTTTTCATCAAACTTGATTTCTAAAATTTTTTATCAAGTTTTCATAGTCTTTAAATTTGAATCTGACATCAAAATTTAAAATTCAAGAGAATATTATTAATTTTTTACTCACCACTTCCTGTCTCTCCAGTAATTATAACTACTGGATTTTCATTTATTGTTTCAACTATAATTTGTTCTTCCGCAACAACGGGTAGTTTTAATCTAACTGACTGTATTTCCTGCTTTCTATTAAGAGGTACAAATACAGAAGGTGTGCGAATGTTAGGATTATTATTTTGCTGTTGTACTCTTTCTTCTGGTTTATCAAATCCCTGTGACTTAGTCGGAATTGTTCTCTCATCTACATTTTTAGGAAGATCTTTCTCATCACTCATTTCACTTGTCATAATGTCAGGAGTAACAATACTATTGATAACATCTGGTGCTTCATTGTCACTTTCAATATCACATTCACTGTTACTGTCACTAGACTGCATAAATACTCATTTTATTATACTTTATTTATTTAGTATTTCATTATACACAGTATCTCAAAAATGGGATTAACTTTTTGTTGTTTTTCAAATGCTCTCTACTGACTTTTTTAATCTTCAAGCTTTATATTTACTTATTTAATCTTTTAAAATAAACATATAAAGCTTCAAAATGCCACTAATTGTCAGTAGATAATATTTATACATAACAAAAAATTTAATCCCATTATTTTTTAGATAAACTGTGCATTTATCACAATTTTATGATTCTTATCAGAATTGCTTAAAACTTACTTCAAATCCAACCACATTTTGATTAGATGTATCTTTGTCTTGTTTTTTATTATCCAAAATAGCTAATCTCTTCTTTTTACTCCCTTTAATGGAATTTACACCAGCTTCTGTTGCATTGCTTTCTTCTTCTTCACTTGTCTTGCATTTCAATTTTGAGATTGGTGTCTCTAGTTCTCGAAAATGACGCTTCAAACCTTTATTTTGCAAAGATGTTAAACTCACATATTGTTGCAATTCAGCTGGAGACACTTGCACTTTTGCCAAATTTTCTAACAATGTCGCTCTCTGCGTTACAGAACAAACATTATTTTAAAAATTTAATATACACCTGTTTAATTGATAAAATAAAATGATAGTACCTTTAACTTTTTCTTCTTTTGCTCTATTACTTTCTCCAATTGTTTTCTGCATTTTTTTGATAGTACCCGAGTTGTTACTTTTTTATCTATCTTCTTTGTTTTTCTCTTTTTAGTGGGTAAAACAAGAGCATTACAATTATCATAATTATCTGCATGATGTTCGATATCCACTGCAATCTGAAATTTCAAATTCAGTTAAATGTAATCATACTGGTGCCTACTAAAATATTATATATATAAATTGATGTCAAAACATACATAGTGCATTAGTAGATTGAATCTATGAAATGTAGTATAATTTATCATTTTACACAAATTGTTTTTAGTAGAATATATATTGGACCTTCCAAAGTGTTTACTATTATGTTTTCACAATTAGATAAATTAAAATGTTCAATAGACTTTAATTTCTTTCAGTGTGTACTAGTGTATTCAACTAAATTCATAAATGATTTATCAGAAGAAAACACAATTAATAAAATAATTTATGTTACAACAACAATAATGTTTTATTAATTCTTTGGAGACCACACCTTTTATTGTACAAATGCAATTACTACACAGTGAAAAAGTAAATAAAAAGTGGAATATACACACATGTATATAACCTAATATGATTATGCTATAGGATAAAAAATGTGTACCTTCTTGGTGGTAGAATTATCGATCTCTACATTTGCAACAGCTCTAGACTTCCAATTATACCTTTTTCTCCCCATTTTTTAAAATACAATCAATGTTTTTTTTATGCAATACATGTGCAACATGTGTCAATTTCTATTCTAACCTGCTCTAACCAATTTCAATTCCACACCAATTGTCCACGCTTGCGCAAGAGATAGAAAAAAGAACAGAAGATATGTCCTTCTCTGTCACTCAGTTAATTACAGAACTGCAAGACGTTTCCATATAACCTCTATAGAGAAAGAGAATATTTTTATTACGTTTTTATTAATGTTTCATGTACATATATCGGTGCATATAAACATTTTATTTCGATATTCTTCATAACTATAAATTATTTTAATTGCAACATGTTGAATATCGTAAAATTTACTAAACTATTAAGAGTGTGTAATGTCACAAAATATACATGTAACCGGCAACATATTTTTATAAATGCAAAAACGTATGTCACGCGTACTAATGTTTCTGTGAGAGAATATTGTTCATTCCTGTTGCAAAAGGTAATAAGTTCTTAATATATATGATAATAGTGTGACATACATGATAAATTGTATTCAATAAGTTGAGTGATGCTAGATATACTATTTTTAATTAACAGAGACCACTTAAAGAAATAAATATCGCAACTCGTAATTATGGAAGTTCCTCAAAAAGGAATAAGCATGATAAAATTGTGGGATCCTGGCTGCTTACCTGTGGCGGTATGGTTTTTGTAGCAGTTGCATTAGGTACTCTCATTTATTTCATATATTATTATTATATTTGTACTGTAATCAAAATTATTGTGGAAAAAACAAATGGAAAATAGAATGGTGCTAAAATTTATATTATATTTACTGTATAATAAACATTAATAAGTACATGATAAATATATTGTATTGCATAAATAAAATGTATTTTGAATTAGCAGAAAATGATTTTTTCTTTTTTATGTATATTTAGGCGGTATAACAAGACTTACTGAATCAGGTTTATCTATGGTTACTTGGAGGTTGCTTGGAGAAAAAATGCCTCTTAACAACACTCAATGGCTTTCCGAATTTGAACGTTACAAACAATTTCCCGAATACAAAATGTAAGAGATAAAGTTACAATATTGTGTTGAAATATGTATGCTATAAAGAAATTTTTGTCTAGAACCAACCAGAACATGACATTGGAGGAGTTTAAACGTATTTGGTGGATGGAATACTTGCATAGAATGTGGGGACGTTTAATTGGCGCAGTATTTATAATTCCAGCAACATATTTTTGGTCTAAGGGTATGCTAAAACGTGGAATGAAAACACGTGTTGTCACTTTAGGTTTGTTAATTGGATTACAAGGACTTATGGGATGGTACATGGTCAAATCCGGATTAGAAGATCGTTTTGTAGAACCTTCTGATGTGCCACGAGTATCACAATATCGCTTAGCCGCACATCTTGGATTAGCATTGCTCATATATACAGGATTTCTTTATAATGCTTTGGATTATTTAATTCCTGCTAAAAAACTGGCCGTCAATTTCTCTAATAGCAAAATTACAAGTAATGCAATGAAGACTATAAAAAGATTTAAAAGATTAGTCCACTCAACAAAAGGACTGATATTTTTCACTGCTTTATCGGGAGCATTTGTAGCTGGAATGGATGCTGGTCTTATTTATAATACCTTCCCAAAAATGGCAGATAAATGGATACCCGATGATATAAATGCTATATCTCCAATGTTGCGAAATTTTACGGAAAATCCAACTACGGTTCAATTTAATCATAGAATTTTGGTAAGTTGTGTATATTTTTTCATTAAATATTAAAAATTGTGATTTATTTATTCACACATGTGCATGTGTATGTACACAAGCACACGTTATTTATATAAATATATATTTTGTACAGGGAATCAGTACTGTAACATTAATAACCTGTTTGGCTATTGTGTCTCGTAAATATAAACTTCCTGGTCGAGGGAGAAAAGCAGTGGCAGCAGTACTTTGTGCTGGTTATCTTCAAGTACTTTTAGGAATTACAACATTATTAAATCATGTTCCTGTAATGTTAGCTGCGTCACATCAGTCTGGTAGTCTTATACTTTTAAGCACTATAATCTGGCTGTGTCATGAATTGAAATACTTAGGAAAATTTGCTAAATAAAGATGTTAAGTCAAAAATATATTTATTTCAGCAAATTTCTTGTTCATTATATAATAATAGTATTCATACATAAAGTTCATATATAGATATGAAAAACGTTCTAAATAAGACATCTTGAGAACGCTCTAAAATGTCTTTAAAAAACATCTTTAAGATGTCTTAAAAACGTCCTAAAAATACGTCGTTTTTTAATTTCTTTAACGATTTTGAATTTTGCAATAAAAAATTTCAAAAATTTTTCATTATTTAAGTATTTTATGAGCATCCTAACACTGTTAAAAGTAGCTCAGAAACAAAAATAAGGACGTAGAAAAATTAAAATAAGTCCCATTGGAACGGCCAGAAACGCTCCATTTTAGCCGGGATTTTATGAAATTGTTAACAGGAACACATGATATAGGAGCTCGCACTTATTATCGGTTTCGTCATGTTGTAACAGTTAATCAAAAGATGCGACTAACTTTCGTGCGAGCTCCTGTATCAACATGTGTTCCTGTTAACAATTTCATAAAATCCGGCTAAAATGGAACGTTTCTGCTAGGGAATTTTGTCTAGATCTTTTATGTTGTCGTTTTTTTTTACCTTGCTGTGAGGCCTGTGAGTGTGTCATGTGGTGTCATGTTGCTGATGTTTACGCGGGAACATCCTGGAGAACACATAACCTTTAGCGTAATTTGAGCTGCCAATGCACTAAGAGCTCATTTATATCTGTAAATTGTTTTACTTCGCTTTAACATGGAACTTTTTGAAGATCCTGTTTTTAAAACTAAGTACACAAAGAGCAAGCTTCGCGTGAAGAAATGGGAGAGTAATTTTATGGAAAAATATGGACGCAAGCCTAATAAGGTGAGTTGCCTGTCACAATTTTATCGTATATTTTATAATAATATTAAATGTAATTGATATTTGTTTGTTATATATATCCAAATAAGTCACATATTGAATAAATTATAATTAATAAATACATTTACTTTAACAATTGCGAAAATACGGTATTTTAAAACTTGTTAAAAGAACTTGAATTTTTACATATGTTTACTATATTTGGATAAAAATCATTGATATTACATGGAATGGCCCATATGAAGTTGCAAGTTCATAATTCTAAAACTACTATCAAATCAAATTTATTTTTATATATTTTTTAGTAAGTCTTTTATAATGATAAGAATTGTACTGTTCTCTCTGTCTCAATAAAGGAAGACAAGACTTTTTAATTGGAATTTATTATGAACAATAATAACATTTTTAGGTTTTATAGGAAAAAATAAATAACATTTTTTTTGTAAAATGCATCAAAAGTTATGAGCATTTGAAGGATTACATTTTACTCTGCATTATAGATATTTTACATATCACTCCATGATATTATCTCTCATTTTTTTTCATTTTAGAATGATATAAAAGAAGCAGATGTATCTATCAAAGAGGCATACAAGATGTACTGGAAATTAAAGACACGTGCACTTGAGGAAACTCTTACAGACATTACGTTCTGCGATGATGTGCAGAACAATGTATCAAACAAATCGCCACAAAAGCTGGTGAATGATCAGAAGCAAGATAAGAATCCGAGCCCACAAAAAGTCACAAGGGATACAGAGAACATAGACCCTCATGATAGCAAATGTTCTACAGAAATTAAAAACTTTAACCAATTGGATACAGTAAAAAACATTGAAGGAGTTTGGGGCGACCATTTGAATAAGAGCAAAGACCAAGTGCCAAAGAAGAAACAAACTTTATTAATTGGTAGAACCTCCTCCTTCCAACTTTCTAGAAACAAGTTTGAGAGTTCGACTTTTACTAAACGAAATCCGAGAAAATCGCTTTCGTTGACCAAAATAAAGACCAAGTTTGAAAAGACTGACAATTCAGATGTTGATCAATTGGATGCTGATAGCAAGGATAGCATTGATGTAACGGCTGACGAAATAAAGTTTACACTCGGCGAATCGGTAAAAGTGATATTTGAGGAAATGAAGTCTGTTCCGCATTCCATTAACGCTGTTCAACAACTGGCCGAGGGTCACGTGACTGGTGTGAACCGTAATCTAGATCAGGGCTGGCTGAATCGATGCGCAAAAGATAATAACTTGGACATAGCGACGTTCAATCAGCAGAGGCTCTCCGGCACCAGTGATTCTGGAATGGAATCAACCGAGTCTAGTATTTATTCCCCAAAGGATTTGGCGCCTACCATTCATTCCACCACATTATTACAAGTCTCGGATGAAGAAGACTTTATATGTAACAGTGATTCTGAAGAAGAGCGTAAAAAAAAGCGCATCAGAAATTTCAAGAAGCAACTAGACGGTCATCAAGACGGCCGCGCTGCGAAGCGACGATGCGTTGAAATCGATTCTGCAATCGCTCTGTCCAATAGCGCGACTGATAACGATATATCTAAGTTGACTCCTGATATTGAGGCGAGTTTTAATTTAGTATCCAAAAGTGGATATAATGGAAATAAAATTGACAATGTTGATGCATTCCAATTCACTGACGACATTACCACGAATTTAAATCAGTCGAATAGAACTCAAAGTGATAAAGTTGTTTCAAGTTTAAAAATTGAATCAAATATTAAAAATAAGAGAGTAACATCTGAAAATGTCTGCTGCACCAATATGGATGAAATAAATGAATCTAACGTGACAAATTCTGAGGACTCTTTCCAGAAAAAACCAGTGAGGCAACGTGCATCGCGTCAAAGTAGAAAACAAATATCGTATGACGATTCCGATCCCGATTACGCGGAAGAGGAAGACAAGGATGTAAAAGTGAAGGTCACACGTTCTCATTCCATTAAGAGATCTACAAAGCAACCAAGTAAAAAGAAGACAATGTACAGTAAAGAAAAACTTAATAAGCAGAAAGAATCTTTCAGAAAAGAGCTCGATTTGGAGAAAAATAACGAAGAGCAAAGTTCAGACTTAAAAATAGGAAAGATTCCAATATATGGCGTGGAAATGACACAAACGATTCCTCGTTTCGCGATGAAACCAGCCGGCAATGGCGATCTCATTACGCAATTTTCCGAATCGGTTTGTGTCGATGCGACGGAAAAGGACGCTGTGATACCGCTGAAAAAGGACATAAAATTGACTGCGAAGGAAAAGTTAGAGAAGAAAATAGCTGCTGGAACAGTAAATGATAATTATGTCAGGATAAATCTAAAGAAGAAGGTGTTTGTGCGAGGTAAAAAGAACTTTAATCTGTCCAAGTACAAAAGGAATCAATGGAAGCAGAAGAAGAAGGATTTGGCGTCTAGCGAGAATAATTTGGATGCGTTGGACTTGATGGACAAAAATGGCACGACGTGCTTCAAATGCGGCAAATCCGGACACTTTGCTAGAAATTGCCCCGCTTCCAAGGGCGACGCTCTTCTGCCCTTGGAAGAAGTGGACGAATCGTCGAATTTCCCGACTCTGGAGGAGGCCGAAAAGATGGCGAATGAGAATGCGGTTGTCGCTCATACTCATAGAATCGATCGGCTTCCGGAAAGGCCGTCTCACTTCACTGCAAAGGATTCCTGTTTGCGGAATGAAAAAGAAGAAGAAGACATGATAAAATTATTCAGTGACGAATTTGACTTCGAAGAAGACTCGAGTGAGAGGGGAGACACGTTAACTTGTGGACACAAAATACCGCAAGAGCTGCTGTCCAGATTATTGCCGCCTGTGGTGGAAGCGGTGAATCCACTGTATCCTGTAAACGAAGACGGCAGTCTTATTGAAACCCCGATGGAAGTCTTCGAGGCGCTACGCATGTTCGGCCACGAGAGCTTCAGGAATGGCCAAGAGAAGGCGGTGATGAGAATCCTGTCGGGCCAATCCACCCTGGTGACGTTGTCGACGGGTTCCGGGAAGTCTCTGTGCTATCAGCTGCCGGCGTATTTGCACTCCCGCAACACCCGCTGCATCGCTCTGGTGGTATCGCCCTTGGTGTCCCTAATGGACGACCAAGTGACCGGCGTGCCTCGATTCCTGTCCGCCGCGTGCTTGCACACCGGCCAGACGCCGAAGGTGAGGGAGCGGGTGATGCAGTCGGTGAAGGACGGCGAAGTGAACATTTTGCTGGTGTCGCCGGAAGCGGTGGTAGCCGGCGAAAAATCCACCGGTTTCGGCGCCCTCCTCAGACAGCTGCCGCCGATCGCGTTCGCCTGCATCGACGAGGCCCACTGCATTTCCCAGTGGTCGCACAATTTCCGGCCGTCTTATCTGATGGTCTGTCGCGTGCTCAGGGAGAAGCTGCGAGTGAAGACGGTGCTGGGGCTCACCGCGACCGCAACGAGGACCACGACGGAGAGTATAACGAAGCAGCTGAACTTGCACGACGGTGTGGCCGGCGTCGTATCGGATGTGCCGTTACCTAGAAATCTTGTTCTAACGGTGTCCAAGGACGAGAACAAAGACCAAGCCCTGATCGCACTGTTGAGAAGCGAGAGATTCCGAGAATGCGACTCTGTGATAGTTTACTGCACTCGCAGGGAGGAGTGCGACAGAATCGCAGGATTATTAAGAATATCGTTACAAGTAAGTGTTAGAATCACGCAAGTCTTTTCCTTGTATCGAGAATTTAGCTTTTGATTTCATAATTTAATATATCATAGTTACAGTGGAAAGTCGTGAAATGTAACGTAACAACAGATGTTTTTTCGATTCGCATACTAACTTTGAATTTTTTTCGCGAGGGAGCTTGCCATGATATGAACATGAATTATTAAATTCAGAAATGTATTTGCAGGAGGCGCAAAAGCCTGAGAATCCGAAAGCGAAAACGTCCACGATAGCTGAAGCTTACCACGCCGGTATGACGGCTCACAAACGCAAAGTTATACAAAAAGAGTTTATGAGTGGAAAAATTAAGATTGTGGTTGCCACCGTTGCGTTTGGAATGGGCATCAACAAATCGGACATTCGGGCTGTCATTCATTACAATATGCCCGGCACCTTCGAGGGATACGTACAAGAGATCGGCCGTGCCGGAAGAGACGCCGTCACGTCGCACTGTCACTTATTCTTAAATCCCAAGGTATCGTATTCGTCGTGTCCGGTTAAAATTTCAAGATTGTTCTTCAAACAAAGTCTGTTTTACTCACTTTGAGAGTTCCGCTTTTTTAATTCAATCTGTTATTCCTAAAACAGCAAGACAGCGATAAGTGGGAATTGCGCAGGCACATATATGCGAACGGTATCGACAGACATACAATTAGACACTTGCTTCAAAGGATTTTTATTCCTTGCTCTTGCGCGAAAATGAATGACAAAAGTTTGGATCGAAGATGTCCCGGTCATGAGGTTGCTCTTTCTGTCGACGAGACAGTTCAAGCTCTAGATATCACGGAGGAGACGATTTTGACGTTATTGTGCTACCTCGAGCTGCATCCGAAGAGATTCATCACCGTGCTCTCGTCTGTATACGTCCGAGCGCGGGTTTCAAGTTACAATGGACCGCAAGCTCTCAAACAAGCCGCGCAATCTGTAAGTTTTATTTTTATACATAGCGATCTTTTTCAATAATATTAATGGCGTTTTTATTTCATATTACAAATATATAATATTGTATTCTTCTAAGAGCAGAATTATAGATTATGCACAAAATATAGCAAAAAGTTATTGAAATAAGAATAATACGAAAAAAAAAGAGAAAAATATTGAAAGAATATGCGTAGACGAAGGGAAGAGTTTGTGAAAACTTTCTATAAAATTGTGAAAAGTGATGTACATTCAAATAATTGAGTGCCTATTCGATTTGAGAGAATAATATCTAATAAACAGAAATTGATATCTTGCAAATGGATCTGATTTTAGTCACCACCGCTCGCGATGGCAATAGCATTGGACATGCGGAAAGGGATTTCGCACGAGAATAGCAATATCATAGAATTTCCAGTAATCGAGGTCGCATCAGCCATTGGCTGGGACAGTGGCATAGTGAAGAGTCATCTTAAAAATTTGGAATGGACGACGGGAGGTGAGAATTCTGTCAAGTTTTTTTTCTCTTGGAAATGGATTTTGTATTTTTCTTCAGGACATGTTTCACTTACACGACATATTTCTCAGCTAACGGCAAGGCGAAACGCTCGGCAATATCGGTACATTACGACAAACTCGGCTTACGAGTGAAGGCACCGGGCGATCTGACGGATGTCGAACTGGACGAGGCGTTAGACGCACTGATTGCGCGCACTCAGTCGCAGGAATCCTTGCGTTTACAGCAGCTCGAATCCATATCTTGCGCGCTCAGCAAAATCAGCACATCTTCGATCAAGCACTGTTCGATTTTAAACGATGATGTCACAAGGAGATCGGAAGAACTCAAGAGTGTCATCAGAGAATACTTTCAGTCTGATTCTCCGATAAAAAATGTCGATAACAGCTTTCAGGTATGCTCTTCAATAAGAAAATTTGTTTATAAATCTCTTCGCTACAAATGACACACAAAACTGTTCTTATTTTTGACAGGATAAAGTGGCGAATGAGCAGCAGATCGCTGCTGATGTGCGCAGTTTGATAATGAGTTACGGAGACACCAAATTCACCGGTCGCGCTGTAGCTCGCATCTTTCACGGAATACAAAGTCCAAATTATTCCGCTGTGATTTGGAGCAAGTGTCGTTTTTGGAGAACTCATCTCGCTGCAGACTTCAACGCTATTTGCAAAATCGCGACCAGGGAAATTTTAGCGTTACGATAGGGATTGGTTTGAATAATAGTACGTATGTAATGTGCGCTGAAATAACTTTTTGTTGCTTAAATTAAACATTTTATTTTTAATCAGAGTAGGTATTTATAATGCCCTAAAATAAATTAATAATTTTTAGATTTGCTTAAAAGACAAGAAAATTTAACATTAATTTATTGAAGCTATTAAAAAGCTTAAAAATAAGTTGTTATTTAACAAGGTGCATACATTGAACAGATGCGGTAACTTATTTTATATTGGGATATCGTCATCAAGCTCATAGATTTCACTTGAAAAAAAAAGAAGGTAAAATGTTATGCATCTTACGCAATAAAGTCAATTTAGGATTAACAAAGTAATTTATTTTATATTTTTGAATTTTGACTTAAAGAAATTTTAATAATATAAACCTTTTTACAAGACTGTAATATAAAAAGAACAATATAAAACGTTTTTCCTCTATTTGTGTTATAATATGTGTTACAATCTTCTTAATTCTTAACAGAAACTTTGCATGCATTTGTTCTTAAAAATATAACAAGATATAAAAAAAATATTAATAAAACAAATTACAGATTAATATGACAAATATAATATCCACTATGAAGAAGAATAGAAATGAATAACAACTATATTATATATTGTGTACATGTGCGCGCACATGTGTGTGTGTGTTACGTGTGTGTTGTAACAGTTGTATATGTATAAAATATAACAGTTATTTTATAACAATTTTTTAAATTTGAAGTATCTAATCATATTTAATTTATCGTTACCATTTTAAAATTCCGTGACGTTAGGATCTCACTAGATACAATTCAAATTTACTCACGTCACTACTCTTTTCATGTAGTTGCATTGCCGCAGAAATTTGTGCATTCGAATTTGGTGCATTTTACCGACACGATTCATGCAGGTTTCATTTTGGCATAAAGCGCAGAACTCCGCCGAAATGTCGTGGAACGGTGAACGGAAGTACACGTTGGCGTTCTTCAAACTCTTGTTTTTGTGATGCGCCCATATGTGCAGAATGACCTGCGCGTGAAAAATCAAAGTGTTGAATTTAATAATTTGCATTTATAGAAGTATTGCCAAAGTTTCGACATCCACAATACCTCGAAGATCATCAGCAGAGCGAGAAACCAGCGGAAGTAAATAATGGCCGGTAAAAACAGGCAAATGGGATTTATCTGGCCGAATGAAGCACCTGCTGGAACCGGTTCTATCTCTATTTGGCGACGTTTTTTCGACGACTTCTCCTTTATCTCTTTTGGTATCTGCGAGAGACGACTTGTTTGTTTCCAATTGCAATCATTTTACTACCATCCACACTTATATACTATATAAGTGATATATGTTTAATAGTTCGGTATATGTAATAAAGTTTTTACAATATTAACTAGATAGAGACAATAAATGTATATGAAGTATTTCGAAGATATATTGCAGCGCAATAAAATATTGATTGGGAAATATTGATGCGCAAAATGGCATATTGTTTAAAAAAAGATAAATTCGAGATACGAATATATCTGCTATACGTGCGTGCGTGTGTGAGAAAACGTATCTAATGTAAATCTAATGTAAATCAAACGCGCACATTCATTGCGAAGTCACTAGCCGCTTGTTAAAACCGACGCGCTTATACTTATGTAAAGTGTCTTTTAAACTCAGTGTGACGCACGAGAAGTTGTATATAAATGCAAATTCGCAGTAGAAGTTACACAAAAATGTATGTGCATCTCATTTTATATTTACACAAATTAATTTTGTAATAGTGTGTTTACAGAAGAACCGTAACGCGAGCTTTAAGTCGAGGGATCTGTAAGTCGACGGGAGAGATGCAAAGCTGCTCTTTAAATACCTGAAACGGCGCTTTCCGCAGATGACTTCTCACTATCACGTGGTCCGTGATGTTGACTTCCGGCTCTCCGGTCTCCGCGTCGTTCATCGTCGTCGAATCGCCCAGACGGTGAAAATCGTAATTGTCGAACGGATGGATCAGATCCTCGCCGGTCTCCTCGTCTATGAAGACTCGGTCCATGTCGACTGTCCTCGTTTGTGCACCTCGTGTAAAAAAAAAAAAGACCGGGTGGCCGGGAAAGACGGTTTGGTAGTAGGTTTTGATCGTCGGGTCTTCGGGGGTCACACTTCCCGGATGTCTACTCCATGCGCGCACACACTATGCAAATCGCAAGGCAATCTGTGCGTGGAAGGGAGGAAACTCCTGAACCAGGCCAGACGGCAATCTGCAACAGGATGTTTTGAGTCAGCGAGATCGATTTTTCATCGGCGATGGACAATCCTAATCGTAAATATGGATATCGCTACATTTTGCAAAGTTTGCCTCTCGCGATACTTCGAAATACAAAAGATGTAATTGATTGTACTTGGATCGCTATCTCGCTATTTATCAGAATTATCAGAGAGCGATAATGTATCTAGCACACAGACATTTGCATACTAATACTTTGAAGAATTGTATGCGGTAACGAAAATGAGTCACCATTTGCGTTCAGATAAATCACGGCGCTATTTTCCGTAATTAAAGGATCATTTCTTATCATTGCTTCAACAAAATTGTGCTTGGCAAGACTATAGTCAACAAGTTACAAGCTTCTCTTTTCTCTCTCTCTCGCTCTCTTTCTCTTTCTCTCTTATGAGACTTCTTATACCGGATTATATAAAGTCATTGGCGCGTCCGTGAAGACTCGCTACTAGTATCGTCGTTAATCACGTCGTTTTCCGCGAAACACACGCAGCATGTGCATCCGTATTTTCTACATGCGTTTGCGACAATTTTACAAAGATATCGAAGAGCGCAACACATGATTTTGACAATTCGCTTCGACAGCCTGACGGTTTTCTCCTCTTTTTTTTTTTTTTTCTTCAATAAAAGAGAATCGTTAACATTCTAAAATTACGAGACGAATATAGTCGCAAAGGTTGTTGAATTCTAAAATTAAAAGTGGTTTTATGCAATAATGATTTGCACGTCCGCTTAGGACTTTTCGAGTCGAACGCATCGTGACATATCATGAATTACTGATGAACTTGATATTAATGTTATATCGATTTCTTTATCTTTCAATCACGATATCTTTTATAAAAAAAAAAAAGATTTCAACAAATATACGTATGTCGCTGAAGTATGTAACGTCGTTCGTTGTAGAAAACAACTTGACGTCTTATTAATGTTCTGCAAACGGTAGAAAAATAATTTCATTCGTTTTGTAGACTTGAACGACGCAGATATTCACATTGGTTCCTTGAGGCGTAATTATCAAAGCAATTACGATAGCGCGATATACTTGAAGTGTTGAGAGTTCGTGCGCGGTTGAAAGAAACGCAAAAAATAGGATAAGACGCAACTTGACACCTTATAAGTTGCACACCTCTGCTTCAATGTTTCTTATGTATCGTGAATAAAGTTAAAAATATTCGACATCCAATTCGCATTATTACGGATATTATTGCCGGCATTCAGGTTTTGAAGTTTGTTGTAACAAATTGCTGCTTGCCGTGACGATAAAAAAAATATGCCGAGGTCGTAAACTGTTTAACACTATTTTGAATTTGCAAACAAAATAAATCGTTCAAAGAGATAAGTGTACTATTTTGGTTCTAACATCTGCATTTTCTAAAGATTTCTTTATGAAGTTTGGCGGGCTTAACTTAAAATTAGACGTGCGGATCGGAATTTGAGAAATATTATGTGCGACTCAGATGCGGATAGAATTAGAATATACAAACAGAATCATTTTATTTTAATCGAATTCAACTTGACAAAGTCCAATATGATGCATCTACTTTTCATTACTAAGAATTTATGAACTTATGCATGATATATGATGATGTAATAAGTTACGAGACACGTAACCATTTATATATTTCGCACCAAAAAGTCTAATTTAAATCATCAGAAACATGTTTTTTTTTTTGGTAGCGTAAATTAAATTTTTTACATTGAAGCTTAGATTTGTATCTTCAATTTAGCATGGTTCAAATTTACATCAATTTATAATTCCTAAGTTATAAAGTTATGAATTGGTGCAAAATAAAAGTCGTTTTCATATTATATATTAAAATATTAAATATTAAATGGTATTTGTTAATAGCGATTCTATGTTATCAAAGTGTGTTAAATTAAAAATTCCAGAATAATAATTTGTATTCGCTTTTAAAAATAGGTCTGTCCGTACGTTATCAATAATTATCAATAATGCTTCTTATCTGAAATAGTATAATACAACGTACAAAAAAGATTTTTATATTAATGCATCAAGATCAAGGTTACCCAGGTGCGCTTATCGGTATACGAGATACGCAAAGTGCAAAATACGTAAGAAAAATGCCTATATAAAAATTCTAAAGCAAAATTTATCTACAGATAACTGATTTCGGGACGCTGAAGTAAATAACAGAAAGATTGAATGATAAATTCGCGCAAAATCTCTTTTATCAAAAAGATACGAAAATGCAACGAATTTTATTTGCGGTTGCAAGAAGATAAAACCAATGTACACAGCGATGTCGATGTTTTTTGAGGAAAGACAGCGCGATCGAGAGAAATAAAATGAAACCAAAGCGCGATGCACGATTAGTTTGAAACAAGTTTGAAACTTACTCTGTCAATGATACTGCGCGCCGTACTTAATGATTAATATGGCCTTCGCAGCTGCAGCGGCATAAGATGCGGAATTAATTTGTTACGCAGATTCACTCGCCATTCGATCGCGGCGGATCGGATGATGCCATAATCCAAATGTGCTTGGACGCCACACGTCTGAAAAGCGTAACGCGACACCGAGATCACCGTAAAATCGCACGACGGTACACAAAACATTTATTCAACAAACCGGGGTCGTAACTCCCCTCTTGAAAAGTGGGGGAACAGCGATTTCAGTAGCGCCGCCACGGCAAGGATCTCGGAAATGGCGAACTAAAGAATAAGAAGTGGGAGGTGCGCGCGCGATTTAAATCCGTATAAAAATATATACACAATTCTTTTTTTAATATTATTATAAATTTAAATTTAATAAAGAAATATTAGTTTTCTTACCGATCTTGTGCATACTTCTTATCGGCGCAATATGGCATTTATCTTTATGGCAATTGATCAAGAATAATAAACATTTCTTGAACATGACAAGACGCTTATGGGCAACCTTTTTTTGGGCACAAGACGTTTATAGCCGTGAATAATAAACACTTCTAAGAGGTAAATAAAGTACTAACTATAATAGCAAAAATAAATATATCAAATATTCTTTTATGCTTTTATTGGCATAAGTCAGTATTGGCTATACCTATTTGTACATAATTTTCTTGTGTGTTTAATAACAATCTCGATTTAACTAACAGTGAAAATTCTTGAAGGTATATTGAACGTAGTGAAATCTATGATAGAGTTGTAGACCAGGCATCATTAATATCTTGCATTTTCAGTTCAGCTATTTTCAAGTCACATCAAAGTTTAATATTTGTACATTATATACGTCTCAAAATTTGTATCTGTTACAATGACATCTTTAAATGTTTGGGAGATGTAAAAGATTAAACATAAAGTTAAACAATAAATATAATAGATTACAAAAATTAAAATAATCCATGAAAATATAAATTCAAGGTTTTTAACCGACTCGACTAAATATCTAGCCATGCTGAATCCAACTTGAAAATGCATAACTGAATAATGGTATTAATGAAGCCTAGTGTATTATATATATTTTATCGTACTGTGTTTCAATTTACTGCACATCGCAGTTTACAAGATGTTCTACGTTGATAAAATGTGCCATTTAAATTGACAAAATTTGGCATATTCAACACACTTCGGTTGTGCCGCAATCTGGATGCAGTGCACAGAGAATGGACGAGTATTTTTAATTCGAAATATCAATATTCTTAATCTTAAGTAATTAACACAACAAAGTTAACAAACCGTAGCGTGTATATACTTCAAAAATTTGTTTTAGTGGAAATATCGATAATAATTTCATCATACGAGTAGAATCGATTAATTCAATGTCATACTTCTTAGTGCTGATGTTAAAAAAAAATAGAAAGTTTTAAAATGTCTATTTTCCGATCAAGTTACTTTCTCTATACATGCAATGTTGCATCTGCAAAGTGCGACTGCATTTTTTTATGCAATTATTTTTTTAAATCAATCCATTGATTTCAGAGAGTATTCCGCATATAAAGATATAATCTCATTAATAATTAAAAACTGGAAAATTAATAATTTATAAGATATTTTTTTTCTGTATATGTTAGAAAATATGGAATGTGTCGTATAAAATTATTTATTCATCAATGGCATTATTTTAATACTTTTGCAAGATAATTAGAATAAAACTAGTAAGAAAAAGACAGAATATAGTTCATGACGTGGAAGCAGCTTTCCTTGAATTGAGCTAATGGTGTGCAGAGCTTTGAATTTGATTATATAAAAAGTCATATGCTTCATCATACAGCGCAATATGCGCACTTTGCAGACGCAAATATGTGGAATACATTATTTTAAGAAAATAGACATTATTGAGTCCTTCAGCTTTCTTCTCTGCCACCTTCTCTATCGTTAATCGTACGAGACATAGCCCCGTTTTAACTGCTTGAATGCACAGGCTGTTTTGACCCCAAAAGTTTATACGAATATATATTTTATAAATTTTTAAGAATTCACATGTAAAACTCGTGATTATTTCCACGAAATGTCCGAATTAATTCTATGATGAGTTCAATTAAAGTTACACGTTAATAATGTAGAATTAAAAACTAAATTCATCTAAATAATCTAAGTATAGTTTGGTGGAAGCATAATTAGCAGCTACATGGTTAAAATTAAATTGAATATAGCTTTACATAGAAGTTGGTGACCAAAAATTCATCTCTCTTAATTCAGACGGTTTAGCCTCGAGTACATTTACGTAAATAGACGACTTATTTGCCGATTTTTCTTCCTTTCCGATATATGTAAGATTTTGCGAAGATATCGATTTTTTTCGATTAAGCGGTTTGCGTGGTTCCAAAGGCTCGTCTTCCTCCTCTATCTTTGCTGTAATAACTTCCCGTGATTGACCTAATATGCTGGACAAAATCCAATTACCTTGATATTTCTCCTTGTCTGGTACGAATGCACCTGTAAAGTATCTGTTAGCAAGAATCTTCCTACGCGCTTTCGGTGAACTATCTGGAGTTCCTGTAGGCGACGTCAACGGAGTTGCCGGTAACGACTTGCTAACATTTTTCAGCGAGCTTTCTTGAGAGCTTTGCTGAGAGTGTGAATCCGACGTAAATATTTTGGTGAATTTACCAGACATCATTTGATTGGCAACATGAACAATCGATTTGCCGCAAAGAGCCGGTTCACCGTGAAAACCGTCGTCTGTTCCCTGTGATTTAGGTTTTACATTTCCACTTGTCGAGGTCTTTTGAGATATAACACTGCCAGCTAAAGCAGTAATACCACAATTTATTAATGTTTAAAGCATATTTAAAATAAAAAAAAAAATAAATTATGCTATACCTTTACTGTTTATGATAGGAATAAACGGTTGGCATGGCAAAGGGTGCTTGCTAAAATCAATCTCCTTGACCTCTTTCAAATTGGAAATGGATTTGTCACTTGTTATCTGATTTGAAGCACCTGTGTTATTGTTTTCATTCAAAACCTCAGTTACAATACGTTTCAATCCCTGTTGTGGTGCTTCGGAATTTTGTGATTTTGGATACCTTATATAAAAGAAACTATCATCATAAGATGGTGGGCTAAATGCGGCTTCGTCAAAGTCAAATCTAGAAAAATACAAAGAAAATTATATTAGAACAAAATGTAATGACAAATGTGTGCAATCAAATATACACTGCATATAGTAAATTGCAAATTATTATAGTTAATTTGAGTCACACATCACTCAATTAATAAATTAATAACTTTTTTTATATTAACAAAGATTTAAAACAGAATAAAAATTCTTAACAAACCAATTATTACTCCACCGATAAAAATAACATGGCCAATTATTATTCCGCCGATAAAAATAACATAAATATATTATATTCAAATAAAATATCTTTAAACAATGATAAATCTACAATATTAATATTAAAAATTATTTTCTAATCAATAATCAATTATATAAATTGTTATATTTACATAAAAACTTTGTATAAAACAATGAATGGATAATTTATTAAAAGCAATTATGTGTCCAATGGAGTACACAAATGTCAACTATAAATAATAGGTTAATTTGGCAAAACACCAACTTATATGTACATGACAACATAACAGTTTCTATAGTAAATAGATATAACAGCTTCACAATGTCACCGTTAATTTATTGCTTGAATACATCAATAATCAAACAATTGAACAAGATTAAATCATTCTTCGTAAAAATCAATAATCAAATTGTGAAAAATAAAACCTACCTGTTATCTATTTTTCCTTTCATCCATTGTGGCAATGAAATTCCACTACCGAGAGACCTATCCGGTTGTCCTGAAGTACCCATCCTTGTATGACTTTGTAAAACTCAATATATAGCAAAAACTTGTCTTTATGTTAATAATATATAGATGTACAAAATGACATGCCAAAAGTTGATGCTTTGTTATCCATATTAATCCTGCATTAATCCCGATACATGCGTAGTTATTATTTGTACAGTTGTATAATACAATTAGTAAGAGCACTGCAGCTTTTAGGATTTGGACCACGTTATCGTTCGGTTGATCTGCAATTTGGCAGATTCTTAGAATACAATAAACTCTATTATTAATGCAATAAAGAAATATGTGAAATGGCGCGGTACTTACTTTCTTATTACGGTGTAAGAATATTGTTTTGATGATTATCTTCATAATTATAATGCTAGACTACCTTGGACGAAAATAGCAGTGAATAAACGTAATGTTGATAATGGCTGACGAACGTATACAAATGGCCACTGCAGCTATATAGAAGATTCATATTGTGTTCGTCATCCACGTACGACACCTGACGTCCAATAAGAAAATTTATTTTCTAGTAACAGTTCAGGCGTTAAATAAAATTCCTAGAAGGCACATTTTTCTATTGGCTATCGGCATTCGGCGCAGTGCAGTAAATCTAGCATTAGCGTATAGAGGATTTGCTATTTAATGAAAATTTTGTTTCGAAAATCTGTTCGTTTTCGAGGGTACATTCTATATTTTCTTTCTTCCTTCTTATTTCACCTAAAACGTAGGTGCGAGTCTGGTGCAAGCTTATACCTCAAGAAAGTACAGTTAAAATGAACAGACTTACTGTTAAAATTTAGAATTTTTTTATTGTTAATAAAATAATCATTGAAAATTATTATTATCGCTTGGTATTGGCGAAAATATATATATATGAGAAAGTAATTTTGAGACTAAAAGTAGGAATAAATAAAACCATTACTCGTAAGTTATATAGACACGAAGTGATGGTTGTCGACAGCATAGCCTTGACAACGTTATCCTAAATATGGCAATTAGCGCCTAAATATAAGACAATTGCATCTAATGTCGTGTGATAACAGTAATCTTTAACATTCTTCGTCTTCCATTTAAACTACGTTCTGTATTGTATTACTCTTATCACGTAATTTCACGTACAACGTCTTTAACGAGTTACAAGTGTTGGGTAAGTGGGATAAGATAGTAAAAATTTCCACGTGTGATTTATGCAAAATTCAAATTGATTAAATAGAATTGTAAAATATAACGCAGCATCTATATGCATATAATTTACTCAATTTATTATTGCAATCTTATTCATTATAAAATTTATATGATAGTATAAAAAGCAAAGAAATCTGCATAATCACTTTAATTATTTATTATAAAAAAAATGGTTTGGTATCATTATTTAATATTAATACTATTTGATTTACATAAAATGTTGCACTGTCTCGAATATGCTGTTTTGTATTTTATGCCTTGAATTATTCTTACCAAGACATTGCATATTTATTGTTTTCTGTACAGATTGATAATAAATTTCTTTGTACATGATTAATTATTTAAGGAGATGAAAATCTAATCAAAAAATAATCAAGTGCAAAAATATCACAAACTCGCTATTTGATACTGTATTAATTATTGGTATCATTGCACTACTCTCCATTATTTTGTAAGTATAAAAATGATGTTCACATTATTTATAAAATGTAAAAAACTGTGTTTACATTATATATGCAGGCTATTACAAGTTGTACAATTTGTGAAATAAAGCAATTTCAATCATTTTCTTATTTTTTTTTTTTAAGTTCAAGCTGAAGTGATAAAAAATAATATTAATTTTTTAATCTATAAACACAATTTTCTTTAAAAGGAAACTTTATGAGCACATTTTGTTTTATCTGCATTCTCAATAATGAATAATTTTATGCGTAAAAAATTCATTTTATATGTGATATTAATAGGATTAGATATACCAAAATGCTTTACTGTTTTAAAATTGCTAACAGCATTGCTTATTGTTGCTATACATTCTCTCATTACACATTTGTATTATCTACAAGTAAAAGAATTATTTCGCATTACCTAGTATTATAACAGAATTGAATTTGTAGAGAAATGTTTTGCTTTACAACTTTTTAATGTAATGCAGTTTTTTTACATTTACGTTGTGATCTCAATATTCTTGTATTGCATATTTGTCGCATACTTCATGAATTATCCTTCTTCCAGATATGTCAGAGCACGTGGAATTGCAACATTTAGTTGATGCCGATGTGGAAAGTGACACAAGAAATCCGAAAAGAAAATTCTCCATCCTATTCTGCAAATCGTGTCCTTACTTGGGTCTAATATTAGCAACACTCTCATCCCTGTTCTTCTCGTTATGCAGTGTCATCGTAAAGAGTCTGGTAGAAGTAAACCCCACAGAAATGGCGATCTTCAGATTTGTGGGAGTACTTTTACCAGCTATACCAATTGTGATTTACAAAGGAGAGCATCCTTTTCCGAAAGGACGTAGATTAATACTTATTTTAAGAAGTTTTATTGGTACAACAGGGCTCATGTTAAGTTTTTACGCGTTCAGGCATATGCCGTTAGCCGATGCCTCTGTTGTTGTATTTTCCGTTCCTGTGTTCGTGGCAATATTTGCGCGGATATTTTTGAAAGAGCCCTGTGGGCTGTTTAATGTCGTTACCGTGTGTCTGACGTTAATCGGCGTAATACTGATAACACGACCGCCGCTGATTTTTGGCAATACTGTAGAATCCCTCTCAGATGGTAATGTCAAACCAGAGCATGCAGATTTATGGGGTGCCGTGGCTGCTTTCGCGGCTACTTTATTTGGCGCAAACGCGTACGTCTTGTTACGCGCACTGAAAGGTCTTCATTTCTCCGTTATAATGACAAATTTCGGCTCGTTTGCTTTAGTACAGACCACACTTATATCGTGGGCTATTGGCGCGTTATGTTTGCCACGCTGTGGTACAGATAGACTTTTGGTTGTCGCGCTCGCATTGTTTAGCTTCGCAGGTCAGATTTTACTAACTTTGGCTCTTCAGATGGAACAAGCTGGCCCAGTGGCCATAGCAAGATCAACAGATATTGTCTTCGCGTTTTTTTGGCAGGTGCTATTTTTCAACGAGATACCGAATCGATATTCTGTAGGAGGTGCTATATTGGTCACAAGTTCAGTTTTGTTAACAGGATTGAGAAAGTGGGCTCTCTCATTGCCCGAAACATCTAACATCAAAAAGTCTCTTGGAATCTTGGTAATGTAAGCAATATCTGTTTTATTTGCAGAAGTGTAATATATTTTTTTTTGTATTTTACTTATATGAAAAACGAACAGAGAATATTTGACATCAATTTAGAATATTGTTCATATTACAATCAGAAATGGATAACAAGACGTTCTTTGTTTAAGCTATATTTGTATAGCAAAAGGGACTAAATTTTTGCTTAAATATTCTACTTTTGAATCTCTTGCCATTTTAAAAGAATTGAAAAGTATTAATTAAAGAATTAAAGTATTTCAACATTTTAGTATAAAAATTTTTGACTCCAAATTATCTGAAGAATCAGTAATTAAATAATGACGTAATTGTAGAGAGACGCCTATGTGCGAGAGTAAATCAGAAATTATTCGCAATTTTTTCAAGTGAAATATATTGCGGATAATTTCTGACTTATCCTAGTATTTTGTAGTTGGAAAGTTCGATAGAAGCATCTTCAGGCTTGCAAACTATATTTAAAATTTTTTATAAATTATAATATTAATTATTTTTACAATGAATAATTTGCTATTTTGATATTTTATTTATACAAATTTATATTGTAAAAATTTTAAATTTGTTTTAAAATAGACAAAGAAATCCAAAGCTACTTATATAATATACAGTTGTCTAGTCTAAAAATCAGTATTATTTAAAAATTGATATATATGGAATATATATATGTGATAAAATCATTATAATTTATTATTGTTATTAGTCATAACATTTTAATTATGTCACTGAAAGAAAAAGTAATCGAAGAACTAATCAAGTTTCAAATACGTATAAACTATTTAGAAACCAAAAGATTTATTAGGATACTTATTAATATAATATGAAAAGTTAAATGCAATTATACATATACTTTTTGTCAAAGTTTCTAGTTTTTTTTTTTTTGTTTAATTATTTAACTTTCGTATGTTTGGTTGAATATGGCAAAGCACAACAACGAAATAGCTCAATCCTAATTCCATAAATGTTGTGCTACTTGTGTAAATCGATCTTACATATATTGTATATTGAAATTATGAAAAAGTTGCGTAGCACTATTTAATATGAAGATCTAACAAGCGTATATAGGCCTTTATATAATATAAACTATTTAATTTGTATACATCTACTTGCGTGCTTGCGTTGGACTGCTAACTTAGAATGATTTTACTACTTCCAGCGAATTCTCTAGCAAATTAATTCTTAAAGTATATTCTAGAACTGTTTGTAATAATTCACTTTCACATAATAAATTATGAAAAACTGCAGCAATATTTCATATACTAGAATATAAGTATTAATAATATATATACACATGGTGCATAAATTGTCATCTAAGTTTCGGAAGATAAATTTTATTTGCATAAATCTTGCATATTTTACTTTTTAATCACACATTAGTCATTGTTTCTTTGTTTTGTATAGGACGTCTTTATGTGTTTGTATGTATTGGGTTGATCAAAAAGTTTCTTTGTATTTTCGCAACAAATGGATTTATTAGTAAATCGCACTATGTACACATTATATCTTTGAATAAAAAAAATTTATACATTATACGGTGAGACGACACGCTATATTTTTTGATAGCAGACAACTTTTTAAAAACAAAGTTTATTAATGATTTCTTCATCCAGAAGAATTCTGACGGAATGGAATTCTCCGGCAACTTCAAAGGTGATCTAAAAAGACGACGCATACATTGATGAATAATTATTTTATTTAATTTGGAAAATTTTGTCTATTTGTTTATTGAAAAATTCAAAGAAACTTGATCAACTCAATATAATATGTACAAAATGTAACATTTCAGTGCCTTATTCATCTATGAAGAAAGTACATTTTTTATAAAAATAACTTATACTATTTCTAAATTTACGTTCATACAAGAATATATATGTTGTATTGTGTATATTGTGTGTATTGTGGATATGTGCAATGGAAGTAAGATTTTTATTTTTTCTGACTAATAGACAAATTAAATATAATGCATTATACTATAGACTGCTTACAACAATAGTAAAATACTATATTAAAATGATAAATCCTTTTAAAATGACAGTTTTAGATTACTTCGTATTATATTGAACATTTAAATAATTATATTTAAGCTAATTTTTTCATGGTTCAGTAAAAATGGAGGAAATAATTTGAAAAGACAAGCGTATTGTTTGAATCAACTTCCACAAAAATTAATACATGCTTAATTTATGTAATTAAATTGAAAATCAATATGTTAGAAATAAAACGGGTAAAAAATTAATTATTTTGCTGTCATTAATTAAATTATATGACTATTGTATAGAAACATGATCAGGATAGTTCATTTAGAAGCTGCAAATGTATTTCATATATTTCAATGTTTATTAAAACATATCTTCCATAACAATGATATATATTCTATATTTTTCATAACACTGCGACTATTACATTATAATACTATTAGTTTTATTCCTTGGCGAAAAATTGTATATATATATATATATCTTCATAAATTCAATTGTTACATGATGTCTATTTTAATATCACAATTCAAAAGCGAGACATACTCAAATATGCCCATAAAAAATATTTAAAAACTAATTGTGCCATAGTAAATTTTAGTTTTTTTCCCCAAACTATTTAATTAATAATTATTATATATATAAAAATAATACAATAATATATAAAATATATTATTTTATATTATTTTGTATAAAATAATATAAAATATCTTATTAAGATAATTATAATATATTTTATATATTATATAAAATTACATAATATGTCTATATTATGTAATTTTATATTATAATTCATACATATATATAATAATTCTCAACATTTCTAATTCCAATCTTTTCTAAACTACTTCAATCTATTGCATTTTACACTTTAAAGCGAATATTTCTATTGACCAAATTGAGCTAAGTATTTATTCGCAAGGAAATATATTATATATATATATACCGACATATATTTCTTCAATTTTGTTAAAAGTTTAATACGTTCTGGCAAGTAGTCAATAATATGAAACTAAAGTATGTATATGTTGAAACAAGCTTCATAAAACATCTAAAAATCACTTTTCCACTAGTATTATAAACAATAAAACGTCAGAAAATTATATAACAATATCGTTATTCTAAGGTACAACATATAAATAACATTTAATATTGTATTTTCGTACTGTAGTTTTACCATTGTAGAGCAAAATTTAAGTATAGCCATATAAGTTCAAAGAAAAATGCAATATTTATGCTTGCAATATAAAGCTATTTCCTTCTCAAGATACATTAAAACTTGCTGAACAGATAAATATTTAAATCGCGACAAAAGCATTAAGTACAACTAAATAAATTATGAATATATATTCGGCATTAACAGTGTCAATGTTAGACTTGAAAATTTTTCAGGCATATTCATATTTCTTTGAATAAATAATCAATATTTATCAACCTGTTGCAACGTAGCAAAGTTCGAACACAAATTATTAATGGAAATATAATATTTTTAAAATAAAAATTAAAACAATTTAGTTTAATTTTAATAACAGTTTGAACTCAGTAATTTCGAAATTTAAAAATAATTAGAGACCAATGCAAACACAAGTAAAAATTAGACTGAGAGACATTTTGCTTTATCACATATACTATTTAAAAGTAGACCAAGATTTTTTTTTGGTTATCCATATCACTATTCTGCAGTTCATATTGGTCTCTAATCAATCTTTAAAACATTCAGAACAATTATAATGATATAGTAAAAAAAAGTATAACAAATTGGCACAAAAATTCACAATATTGTCGTATAATCATAAAATTATAACAAAGCTTCACAAATTTTGTATTGCAAAACTATTATTTGAATCATAAGATATAAAAATTTAATTAATTTTACTATATACAGATAAAAAATACAAAGCATCTAATATACTTTTGTCACTGTCCATTGTTCTGAATGTAAATCTTAATTATATTTATTTTAATTTTTTTACGCTTTTTATACATATTCTTACATTACTTTATATATACATCTTTGCACAAATATATTCGTAAGGTAGAAGAATTGTAAAAATGTCTTATGATATTTTTTTGAGTTTTGACCATGTATCATATATTACTGAAAATATTCAAGATTTTACTAATTCTTGGTTTTAAGAGAAAAAATCAAGATTAAGATGTATTTTCTTAAATATACAACGTAATAATAAATACATGCTAAAGCTTCTATTAATTTTGTGTTTTTTAAAAGTGCATTTGTTATAATTTTTTATACATTATAATTACAACATATATCACATTACTAGTATTCAATGACCCTGTTAAAAAGAAAAAAAAATTGTAGAGATATCTTACAATTCTATCTCTATTCTAGGCCTAATACGTTTCATGTGTCGTATGATAAATTTGTAAACCGCGTTAATTAACTATTGAATAATGAATTTCTGAAATTTCACAAATTTTTTACAGTATAATAAAATTTATCGTACGACAAATGTAACATTAGCTTGACAAGAGAAACATTACTGGATGGGCTTACTCTACACATATTCAAAGCTCATAAAAATTAGACGGAAATCTTTCAAACGTTCTCTCGCAATTACTATTATGTTTTTACGAACTTACACGTTGAAATTTAAATTCAACACTATCACTAAGAGACATAATTGCTTGCTCCTGAGTGATTGCCGCGAGCTCTTTAAGCCATTCATCTAATATGACAGCGCATAGAACAACATTTTGTACTGGACTTATTTCACTTGGTGATTCCCACGAAGTTTTTGTATACCTATTAAAAAAAAAAAAAGGAGTGCGTTTAAGGCCTTATCAATATCCATGTATCGTACATTGTCTACATAACGCAATATGGCTGCAGTAAAGAGAATCAATGATTTGAAGTATTTACCTATATCCGGATCCAACTACTTGTAGTTGATCTTCTGATATACTGGACGGCTGACTGACAGAACTCGTTAAGCTGCTCAGACCTAAGCTACCACCTGGCCGTTTGAACATTTGCGTAAGCGACGATGTTAAACTTTTTCTTTTTGGCTCACCTGTAATAAATACGATTGGTGTAGCAATTTGAAGTGATATATACATCTATGTTATGTACGTGTAAAAATAACCTATATCAATACATACGTCTTTTGAACACTTCCGGCGTGCGCAGCACAAAATTTTAACAGATATAATTAACATAGTTTAAGTAAGACAGAAAGAGAGAAAGCAAGAGGGAAAGAGTCCACACGCGTGTTCATGAATAGTGAGAAAAATGTACCTAATTTTTAAAACATGTTCACGAAATAGATGATACCTCTTGCGAATGATTCACTAGTCAGGGAATGCCTTTTAACGGGCGAGGATTGGCCATCAGCTACCAAGACATTTTTTCTCGCATTCACTAACTTGTCTTCTCGGCTAATTAGAAACGATTTTGCTTGTTCGACCAGCAAATCCACGTTGTCATGTTTTGAAAGAAATTGGTCTATTTTGTGCTTCAGTGATGCAAGGATCTGCAATATAAAAAAATCATATAAAGACATTATTTTAATTTACAATACAATAATCTGAGACAGCAAATTTTTTATATTCCGCAGAACGTTTGGAAGTGCAGGTGCACAAATATGTACCTGAAACAGGGATCGGATGCTGGGCTGAAATACAAGAGAATGATTGAGCAGGAAGGATTGCAGCACGGGTTGTGGATATATCGCCAGTCTGCTGATAAGGCCCGTGAGACGTAAATTGACGTACAAGTTATTGCTCGTCATATTCTCGAGCTTTCGTAAAAGGATGTCTAAAAATATGCCGACGTTCGGTTCTCCACCGAACGCATCTGATCGATACGCAGTGTCCTTAAATGATTTACTCGACGATGGTTCCGCGATCGCTGCGGAATTCGATTCCGCGATATCATGCGCAACGGGATCGTCAATCTCCTTCTTAATTATAATGTGCACTTCTTCGTGTTCACTCATGCGGTCTTCGTTCGTCTCGTTATCCGGCGTTGACTCCGGCGATCCTTTGAATGCGAAGCTTTCGTAACCACTGCTTTCCCCGAGCGACATGAGCGAGTTCATGGCCGTGGCCGAATCTTCCATGCAGCTATCGGACTCTTTTTTATCTAGACAAGTTTCCTCCGTACATTCCGTGATTCCGATCTCTTCGTTCAATAGCTCCGCTATATCGGCGTCCAATTGCGCTTGTTCGTCCAGTGACAGCGAAACATTCGCATTCAATTTATTGTCAACGCTACATTCGTCGCTAATTAAATCGTCCTTGCTTTCTAATAAAGACTGAATATTGAGCAGTATATTGTCCATCGACATGCCTTCGTCATTGTCACATGAACTCGTTGCACTCTTGACGCATTCCAGCACTCTAGGCTCCTCCGTTTTCTTCTGCGATTGAGCGGGTGTGACATTTTCCTCGATTAATGTGGCTGCGCTGCTGGCGTTGCTACTTTGCGGCAAGCTACCGTCGTACCGGCAAGACCAAACAGAACACGCGATACGGCAAGCTTTTATCTTCTGCCTCGCGTCGCAGAGATAGGCGTGATAATTTCCTAATAAACTATCCGATAATCTAGTGCCGTAGTTTAATGCTGCTGGCAATGAATTTAGCGAATCGGACGTATGTCCGTGTGTATGCGATACACTGCTAGGCAAGGAGTTCGTTTGTGAGTCCAACGGCGTAAACACGGTGCAGCAACGTGGAGACAGGGACAAAAATTTCTCTGCTGCACGTCCAAAAGGATCTATATCCCGCAGCCGGCTACGCTGGGAAAACATCACGTGCGAACATGGATTCAACGCGGCCAAACATAGCTCCAACATGACATCCTCGCAGTTCAAGTCGACCAGAGTTTCGAACAACGCAAGAGTGACTATGCACAACTGAATTAGGAAAAAGAAAATATTAGAGACAAGTGTATATATTTCAAAGATATTCTTTTAAATAAATTATGAAATAATTTACCCTCGATCGAGAAGAAATCCTTTTTATTAAACTATCTAATATTCTACAATCATCGTAATTATCCTCTATTAGAAACCGAATGAGTGACCGTAACAAGCCGGGATGTGTCACAGATCGAAGGAACAAATCAAAATAGGCTGTTGCTGCAACTAATTCTTCCACGGTGGTCTGCAAATATTTTAAAAGAATTAAAAGTTTGAAGAAAATATAAGATTATGTCTTATTAAGAAGTTTGTTAGCTTTTTTTTGAAATTGTTAATCATCCACAAGTTAGAAATTAATGATAAACCAAATTCTACAATGTCGTTTTGTCGTTTTATACATTTTTTTCTATCAAAAAAGAAATTTTCTCTTGGTTGTTATATACATATATAATTTTCTTATTGATAAAAATATATAATTTTATATTAATTTTGCATACGCTAGAAACTCATCTCCAATTTGTTAAGCGAAGAAAAAAAAGAAAGAAAATTAAGAGAGAAATATTAGTTGTCATGGTTATTTTTTTTTACTATATTCTTTTTAATTTTTGTCTTGAAGCATCATGTTACTGTGATAAAAGAAGGGCATGGATTCTTACATATATATAAAAAAATATATATTAAACATAAAAAGCTATATAAAAAGATATAATATACACATACATTAATAACGTATGAAAGCGTATAGATTTTATATAATGCATGTCTACAGTTTTGTAGTATTTATATTCAATCATTTACAATGAGACTGTATTTTCATACATAGCACAGAAATAAAACTTGGAAGATGAGTAACATTTATTTTTCAATGGAGACATTAAAATATGAATATATGAAATATAACAGAGAAAGTAATAAAGCAAACATGTGGATAAAAGCTGCTTATATGAAAAATATCACATAAGTAATATAAAATTACAAAGAAGCAAAATTCATAGTTGAAATAAGCAAAATTTTAGCAAGGTGTATTTAAATGTTATAAGTTATAAACCACACACAATTTTTTACAATATCTTTTCTTATCTATGTTATCAGATGCTAGATAATGTTATCACACGAACTGATACAAAGTTTGACTAAATGTACTTGTGGTTTATAATTTATAATGAAAATTATGCTACTAAATCAAATATGATTTTGTATGGCTAGAAATATCAGTGTTTCAGTGGATGCTTAATATATTCGCACAGTTTTAAGATGCTATATATTATCAAATCAAATTATGCACCTTAATAATACTTAAATAATTTAATTTAATTTAGTTAAATAGAGATGTATCAAAATATACACATCTGCAATATAATTAATTTAATGCTAAAAGCAACATTTTGCACTCTTATGATACAACAATCGTCCGCATAAATAAATAGGAAACTAAAAGTATCAAAATCAGACATCAGATATATCAAGTATTAAAATTAAATAGTTTATAAAAAATTATGTTTCATGGAAAATTAAATTTTTTTTGTTTTGTATATGAAGCACCAACTGAAATATATTGTATTATGAAAAATGATATTTTTGTACTAACCCAATATTTTGGTGCATCTAGCTGTTCTAGGGTCAAGCCAATAGAATCCTGAGCACCATAAAAGTATTACCGGATAGAGAGAAAGAGAGAAAGGCGCCACCAACCGTAAATAATAACATTAATGATTTGTATGCCATTAGCTTTGATACCAGTGCACTTAGCTCTACCATCACCACATTGATGAATTTGCATGTATTGGTAACATAAAATGCAATGTACACACAAAATTGATGAAATCCTCAAATTAAAAATAGTAAAAAAAAATGCACGTTTCTTTTTTTCAACTTATTGAATTTATGCAAACGTTATAAAGATTAAGAATCTAATAAATCCTGAAATAATATCCGATATTACAAATTTTTCACACACAGAAATAAGTAATAAATGTATATATAAATATAAGAAGTAAAAGATTAGTGTTCAATCATTGATATTTAATAATTAATGTGTAAAAGGGTAATTTTCTGATAGCTAAATTTTATTTGTTTACTTATATTTTTTATCACACAATAATGTTAAAATTTATTAATCGAGATAGTAGTTTCTGTGCTTGATCTTTAATTTAAGGCTTCTCGCAATTATTTTTGGTGTTTAATCTATAAGATTGTGTATGCAAAGCAATATTAGATAACATAGAATATTTGTGTGTGCTAATAAAAGTGAATACCTTCTTTCACCACATGCAATGACAATTGAGATAACGTATGTTACTAATAAACAACTTAACGCTCGTATATTTTGCAATCTTGAAGCATGAAGAAATAATTTCAACACTTTTCCGGAGTGAATAGTAATTTTTATCGCGAAATATTGATATCGAAATGTTTTCGTGCAGTCGCTCTCTTCTACGTTACAAGTACTTACCTGTAATAAAGCTGAACTCATGACAGGTATTAAAAAACCTTGGTATAAATATTCAAGCAACTCTTTCTGTACCATTGGATGCGCTACTTGGGCAACCGCGTTGCAGAATTCCAGAGAATTCATGAGCTGTGTAAGCTCAGATATTTCGTTTACATCATCCGGCGTCAACTGATGCCAGTCGTCCGTTTCGATTTCAAGCTTTCTTGGAAGTACAGAATAAAGCCCACTCAGTCCTGTAGCTAATACCTAAGAAAGTACAAATAAGAACATTAATATTACTTTCACGCACACGAATGTCTGCTATTTTTTTGCCAATATATTTTGTTCTGCTAACTGAATTACTTACTGGACATATATTGGAATGATCAACGATGTACAATCCAACTTCATCATTTTTCTTCGAGAGTGACATACACAATAACATAGCGTCGCGTGCCTGCTGACCCACACTACCCTCTTGATGAACGTAAGGTATTAATAGATTGAATATAATGAATCTGAAATAAATGTTGGCCTTTTGATAAGAATTATGCGCTTATGTAAAAAATATCTATCTGTCATAATAAATAATGAGTTATTACTTGTTCTTTCCAGCCGCAGTCGGATGAAAAAATAAATCCAGCAAACTTATATTTTGCATTAAGGCAACACATAATTGATTTAATAACACTACTAATTTTTTTTCTACATCTGATGGCATAATGTCGTTCCCGCAGTCTTCCAATAATCGTAGAAGCGGCCTCGTAATTGGCTCGTGTGCAAGAAGGGCACCGTTATGTACAACTAGTAATTCGTAAAGCTTCATTTGCTCCACTCTCACAGCAACGTTGAACCTGTAAGAGAAATTTACAGAGGTATTATAATAAAATAGATTATAATAAATTTTCATAATTACGCCAGTGTCTCAGATTTTAATGTAAAACGTAAATCAATATTGTAGAGTGATGATGTACCTTCCTGTAAGTTTACTCCAATTATATAATTTAAGAAGTAAATTTTCACTTAATAAATATTCCAAACAAGGAGAATGCGTTGCGGTGTTGCTCTGTTGATTATGTGGATTTCGCAGCTCCAGCATCAGTAGTGTCACCATTTGATCAATGTGATTAACAACTCCGAGAACATCATCTTGACTAGGTCCTTTAGAAGACTGAAAGAAATTAATACAACGATGCAACAGGTCTGGTTGTTTTGTTAAAAGACAACTTTTGTGGAGGGATAAATTACATTGTCTCATATAAACATGAAAAATCTCTACAATAATTCGTTGCAAATTGTGATAACCACTTTACTGATGCAATTAAATCATAATTACAAATTAAAAATTAGAATTATAATTTATAAAGCTGATAAATATATATATCTCTAATCTTCAAATATATGATATATTAGATTAAAATAATATATTTTTTTATTTATAATATTAAAAATAAAAAGTATGATATTTAATATAATAATTAAGAAAAATAATTTATTATTATTTAAAAATAAAGTTATTTGTTCATTAGAAATTAATCTTGAGAAATATAAAAAAATGATTAATAAACCTCTAATTATAATTAAAAAAAGTATAATGGAATATATGAAGTTTATTTTTCAAAGAGATATATTTAAGGTTATTAAGATTCTGTAAATAATAATAAGAATTATATTTATAATTGGATGTGAATAAATATTATTAGCTATAAATATAAGTATTAAGATTATTGTGATTGTAATAAAAAGGGGAAAGACGTTAGTTTTTACCATAGATGTATTTAGAAATCAGAAAATAGTTTTAAATAAAATATTAATTTTGGAGATTAGAGATATATATAAATATCAAAACACAAATGTCAGGAGCAAAAAAAGTTACAATGCTAGTTGTTTGTGCAAAATATATATTGAAATCAAAGTAAAAGAATCAAATTTCTACCTGTTATCAGGTCAGAATTTGTCTTCTTCTATGTCAGTAAAAAATTAAACTGTACACACAATAACAGCCAGAAACGTTTGTTTATTTTACTTCGATTCCAATATGTATTTTGCACGAACAACTAGTATTGGCTTTTTTTGCTCTTGACATTTGTGTTTTGACAAATTAAAAAAAAGTTTTTACTATATTTCTTTAATTTCTCATAAACAGAGATAAGAAAAAAAAGCGATAAAAATAATTATTAAATATAAAGCACATATTTATATCTCATTGAAATAGATCTTTCTTTAAACGATATATTGTTACTTTTGGTATTTGCAGTCCACTATTATGATTTAGAAACGCTTAATTAAATTATAATAGTCAGTGAAAATTATAACTCAATCTGTAATTTAAGTTTCATAAAAATGTGAATAACCTTTGCTATAGACATCAGATTTGTATAAATAAATGTCTATCTGTGTAAATCTTAAAATAATCCATCTTTTAAAAAGAGAAAAAGAGAATTGTCCTTACTGAGGAATGCAGGATAATTTCATAAGTTTGTTGCCAGTGTTTGCAGAAACTGTCGTAGCACGCAGACGGATCGGCGTCCTTTGGTGGCGAATCTCTGGATCGCTGCTTGCTGAAACCCGGATTGGTCCGTAACCAACTCATTTTTGCACAATATGTCTTTTACACTGATATGGCCAATGTCGAAATCATCGCGTTACTTTGCGTAAAGTATGTGAAGTATAATTGAGTTCACTTGTCGTCCTACTTAACACGTTAATCACCCACATAAGCGACGAGGTGCGATAATAGGAATCGCCTATTCATCAGGCGATTCACAACGTAATTCGCTTATTCCCATGTTGTCACGAGCACACGAGATACGTACGCATGAGAACGTATTATCGCCGACGAAAGATAACGCTAATTTTTATCACATTAAAGTTATTCGTCATTAATCGTCACATAGTTTAATAAGTCACTCACAATCAGTAGCTTTTTGTAATTTACGTGTTTCCTTCCCATTGATGTGTACGAACCACGTTGCTTTACAGCTGTACGTTATCTTCTCACGATTCGCAAACCCGAATTTTCTCTACTCATATCATTTACATTTCCTTCCGTGCTCTTTGGACTTGAAATATAACGACATAAATAGACTACGTACTCTCTCTGAGAAAGATGAAGCCGAAAAATACGAATGTAGTTCACAACTGAGAGAGATAGCTGGTTTGTAAGCACGTCTCACTCTAATAAACGGTTGTAAAACCGTTGAGTAATCGACAGTTTTTGAACGGAAGCTTGGTCACTTATACACATATTTCATGGTACATATACTTGTCATAATTGCGTGCGTGTGTCATCCGAGATATCGCATTAAGGCGTAACTATTATTATAATAATAATTAATTTGTTTCGAGTTCAGATTCTGAATATTTATATCAAACCGTTAAGCATCTGCGTCACTTTGTGATTAAAGTGTTGACATGTTTGGTAAAAAGAAAGAGCCGAGGCGACCCAGGCCAGTTGGCAGTTTAGAACAGGTATCGCATTATCTTTTTTTTCTTGTAAATATGCAATGTAAGATAATCTTTTTATTAATTTTTAAAGATTTTTTTACATCATATATTTTATTTTTAATTAGAAATTTAATTCGTATGGTTTAAAATACAATAAATCTATATTATACATTTGTTGTTCTTTCGATTTTACTTTCTCTGTAAATATATTTTGTGAGTTTTTATTAACAATGCTCTTATATTTCATATAGTATGGCATTTTTGAAGTACCTGATGTAAATATGGATAATATCGGCGATAACATAAATGATGACGACAATGATGAAGACTTAGAAGCTGAGTTAGCTGCTTTGGCTGCCGGCAATGATACAGGCTACAAAAGCAGACGCACTGGTAAGTTTGATAAAATTTTACAATGTATTCTATATATAATAAATATATCTATATAATAGAGAAAAATTATTTGCTTAAATTTATCTAATCAAGCTTATAATTATTTCTCTTGTATTGAAAGTTATATAATCAGTATTTGTATATTGTACATGTAAATGTTGTCAGCTGCACGTAAAGCTGCCGCTGATGTAAATTTAGATGGCATGGTAGCTGAATGCATGAAGGATACAAATTCTGATGAAGAACCGTCTGAAGGAGACGATGATCCTGCATTATTGGTATGTGATAGAATACCCGGTGTTATTAAAGATAATTAGCTTAGTGTTAAAATTTAATTGTAATTAAAATTCTTCATGGTTTTAGAAAGAACTACAGATGCTCTCAGGGAATGAACCTGTGACTGAAGAGACAGAAGTACCGGAAGTAAAAGAGGAAGAACAAGAAGAATCCGAGGAACATGAATCCAAAGAGGAGAACAATTCTGCACAAGAAGTAATCCAATTATTGCAAGAAAGACTGAAGACTTACGAGATGGCTGAACAAAAGGCTAAAAGAGAACATGAGTCTGGCAAAGCTAGAAGATATAACAGAGGTGTAAAAACACTCAAGGAAATGTTGGCCTCTGCACAATCAGGTGGAAGCGTAAGTGAAGCTGACATTCCTCCACCCTTGCCTTCTTCAGCTACTACAGAATCCACAGTTAAAAATACAGGTATGCTGTCCCACAAATATTATTTTATTTTTAATAGGTATTTTAACTTGTGCATTTGTCAATTCTATTAATCTATGCGTTGAATATTTATAATCAATCCTATTTAAAAATTTTTATAAATACAAAGAAAATAATCTTTATGTGGTAATTATGTTCAAAAATTATGCAGCTTTCCATTTTAGCTTTAAATTCTTAATAGATCAATTTTATTGGATTGCAATTTTTACTATTCGGAGATCTGTAATATAAAGATGTATTTTATGAATTTTGTTCTTTTTAAACAGAAGAAACGCCAACACCGACAACGCCACAACCGACTGAAGTTGACAAACCGTCTGCTGCATCAGATGCAGTCTCAAACGAAGATCATTCTGAACCAGTGAAGGATGTTGCAGTTGATCAAGAAGCTTTGGATAAATTAAAAATGCAGCAACAAAAGTATAAGATCGCAGCAGTTGCGTGGAAAAAGGCGGGCAACAAAGAACAAGCACTAGAGTATGTGAAAACCGTCAAACAATTCGATATAGTTATTGCTGCGGTAGCTGCAGGTGATCAGCTTGATTTATCGGATATGCCGCCTACTCCAATTTTACCCACTGCTGACGTTGCAGCGGATACTGCGTTACCAATGACGGAGACAAAAGAAGAAAGCGAAGTTCAAACTTCCACAGATGCCACACCTGCAGGTAAGATGTAGATATGGCATTGAAAAATTTTTACAAACTTGTGTATTTATTACTAATATTGTAAATATATGTTGTATTATTGATTGTATTCTTATAGTGAAGAGAAATATATGATAAAAGTTGAGCATTGATTATAAATTTATATACCGGCATTCTCTTTTCTTTGATATCCATTTTCCATATTATTAAATTGCAAATGTAGAATAGTATTGTTTTTGCATAATAAACAATTAAAGTGCACATATAAAGTAAATTTAAAATAGAAAAGCTATTTTGTACTTTTAACTTGGAAAAAAAAAACATCTAACAAAATTATAACGATATAAATGTGAATTATGTTAGAAGCTGATGTAGGTGAAGCAAAACTTGGTCCCGAAAACATCGAAGGCGCTCTTAAGGAACGTCTCGAAGTATACAGACGAACGAAAGTAGCTGCTGAAGCGGAGGATAATACTTCTAAGGCGCGCAGATATGGTAGAATCTGCAAGCAGTTTGAAGACGCTATTAAGTTGCATATGCGTGGAAAGCCAGTGGCTCTGGATGAGCTTCCCGTTCCGCCTGGTTTCCCACCTTTATCATCTAATACACAAAGCAACGATACTGCCGCGCAACCTGCATCTGAGCCTGCGAAAGAATCACCTGAAAAGAGCATTCCAACAAGGCCTGCGCCACCAAAACCACCCGTTCCTCCTCCTAGAGCAGGTAAGAAATAGCGAAATCTCTTCTGGTATTAATTTGTCTTTATACTTTTATTTAAAATTATATATTATATATTTATTTTACAGTATTTTATAAAAAAATAAGATAAACGTTTATATGAAACTTTCATTATATGTGTGTCTGTATTAAATTTATCTCTGAAATGTAATATCTTCATATTTTGCGAAACACTTTAAATATTCTATATATTTACACGTATGAATTATGTACCTAGAATATTATATTACACTTTTTGCCTGCATTTCTTATCAGGAAAAGCAAATCAGAAGATTACATCTCGTGCAGAAAAGCAAATGCTACAATTGCAGCTACGGCAGCGAGAATTAAAGCAAGCTGCTCTAAATGCGAAGAAAGATGGGAATATAGATTTAGCACGTGACTATCTGAGACAAGCGAAAGGGATACAACCTTTAATTGAAGCCAGCAAAGCCGGCTTGCCGGTTGACATGAATTCAATTCCATTATCACCACTTGAAAAAGTAGAACTGAGTACAACTCAGAAAGATGACAGTTTTATATTAGTATCTGCCGACGATTTCCTGGAAGGCTCGAGTGGGACGGATGATCAAATTTACGAAAATCTTGAAACCCAGTTAATTAAACAAATTAAGGTAATAGTTAAATGATATATTGGAGAATTCAGAAGAAAATTTCAATCTTTGAAGTTACAGATATTAATGTAAACTAATCTCGTATAGCTTATCAGTCTTTAAAACTTTCTAATAATTTTGTAGTGGTGCTTGTCTACACGGGATCACTCAAAAGAATTGGGAGATGTCCCTGGATATAATAGATGGGAACGACTCGCATTGGGTTATACACGAGATTTAGATATGCTGAGAGTTCGAAAGCGCGATTTACTGCCACCACCACAACATCACTACGAAACTAAAACCTATCAAATAGTACAGTTAGTATATACATATTTTTCTTGTTATCTCTCTTTTTTCTTGTCTTTGTATTATAAAAATAAAATAATTAAAATCAATAGGAGCGTAAAGAGCCACAATGCT